CCTCGCTCGAGCGATGGAATTCGCGCGCTGTCGCGTTATTTTTAATCGCAAAAACGTGTCGGTGTCGAATTGTCTTCGACATGTCATATATTATTGTCCAGTAAACAAAATATATAGCTACTACGATAGTGGTAGAGTCGTAGACTACAAACTTATATTTAGTGCTCTCTCTTTTCTCCGTGTAGTTTAAATAAAAAAATGTTTTATGTAATTCTGAGGACTATTGGTCGCGACTTTTCTCGGTGTCGCGAAGCAAATGCAATCGTGAGATAACGAGGGAGAAAAAATGTATAAATGTCGACTGCGGAAAGTGTTAGACTTGCAATTCTCTTATCTTAATGCAACGAACAACCTATTTTATTGTTTTTACTTAAGATCGTTTCATTTTCGCAGAACACGCTTTTCGCTTTTGCGGCGCCGATAAATCGTTTAAGGCTCCGTCGAGATAGACACTTCGCAGCCTCTCTGGGGTGCCGATTAACGTGACAATAAAAAATTGAAAACGGCATTACGAGATAGTTTTGACCTTATCGGGATGCGATCTTCTCGCGTCAAGGAACCGGCCAACAATCGCTCGCCTTTCTAATATATTCCGCCTGCTTAATTAAGTAAATTATCGGGCGGTCAATCGGCTCGTTAACGCGAGTGATTTAGAGCCGAGTCTCTCGCGAAAGGCTCGAGATATCACCTACAAATCGAACAGTTAAAAGGGTACGTGGCCGCGAATAATAATTCCCGGGATTCCGTCACTATTATCGCACCTTCCGACGAGCAAACAAATTGTTCGCAGGTTGCATAATCTCATTTCAGTTATCTTCCTTTTGCACCCGCGAACGTCGTTAAAGCGAAAGTTAACGAGCAATTGAATAATAGAGTATCTAATACATATTTCGAAGGATGCACAGATTCCAAAATAAAAACCGAAACATATGTTCTGCAGGGTGTATTATTATGTGATACTTACAAAAGCTTGCAGAATCATATAATATTAATTAATTTTTATAAGTCGATCCTATCTCTCTCTCTTTTGTATATGCAGCTCGATAATTACCAGGAGCAGTAATTTATGTAAGAAAAATAAGCTTTGTTACGCAGTGCAAGAGGGTCGGTTAAGACTGCAGTCGTCAAGACTTTCTGTTATAAATAATGAAAAAAAGAAACTTTTATTTTACTTCACGTAACAACCTGGATTGCGCCGGCATCGAAAATTGTTTGCTCAGTCCGGTGAAAGACAACGGGACCTGGTTCAAGAATCGTCAGGAGTTGGACAATGGAGAAGAGTAGAATGGGGGGTCTCGAAAAAAAGGAAGTTGAAAGAACTCATGCAATTTTGTTCCTCTCGTCCACGCCCTTTTCACAACCTCGACCAGATACGTTGGTTTCCTTCTGGAAGATACTTTTTGTACCGCCTCGCACGGTGCGAGTGGTTTACGGTTTACCGCAAATTATTGAAAAATTGAAGGAGCGAGATAATCGCGCGACGTTCATTTCTCAAAAAATTAATTATTAATCTCAGAATATTTTTGTATTTAAGACAGTTTGCGCCCATTGTGTAAAAAAATGGCGGATCTTTTACGATTAAATAACGTCAATCATAACGTTTTATAGTTAGAAAATGGATTCCATTAATTTTTCAATATCAGCTCTATTTTCTATCATTCATCTTTACTTTCTATTATATCTACACGCATTCTTTAAATTCTATATTTTATTACTTGTATTGAATCAGAAGAAATATTATATGTGTAAGCGAACGTATACTTTTTTATTTACTATCGAACGAGATATCTTCAACGATCATAATTGACGCCATTTTACAAGCAATTAAATAAATTATACTTCGCAAAAAAAAATACATTGCGCGTACAGGGACGGATGACGAAACGTCATTCGAAGATCCGTAAGATGCGGAAGTGCGGTATACACAAAGTTGCAGGATCGACGTCGTTATAATGGACGTGGGAAACGACGCGGATCTGTTTGCACAGCGGCAAACATAACGTTTAATCGCGTACGCCATATCATTATTATTATATTGTTTTTACTGGGGATCGGAACGGATCGTTGAACATGGAAATGCCACTATGCGGCATATAAGCGATGAAAGAAAAGAAATGATGTGATAATAAGCGGTCTCGCCGCGCTTTGCGTCGCGCGTCGCACATCGCTTCGAACGTATTTATTACCATGTATTAAATTCTTACATAGTTTAACTGAAGTCGCATAACAAACGCAAGTTTGCCTTTCGGAACGAAACGTAATGATATCGCGTTACCGAGCACGTTAGCGATCTACCGGCGATCTATTTCGATCTTCAAGAAATATATGCATGATGCGCTATTAAAAGGCATTTAAATTCCTATTGTCTGTTGTTCAAGTCTTTCGAAGCGCACCCTGAACAGAGAGGAATATTAGGGATTCAAGATAATTCGGTGCAGGCTCCTGTTACGTATGCAATTCCAATGTCCTTCATCGGTGACGTCAAGGAATCGATCCCGAAAGAAGGAGCAGTCCGCTTACGTCACCGGGATGATGTAAGTATCGTATCTCCCTCTCCCTTCCCCACCTCTCTCTTTTCTCTTTTTCCAAGAAATGTAAATAAAAGAAAAATCGATTGATAAAAGTTGCCTCTCAAAAAAGAAGTAAAAGAGAACGAAACAGATATTTATCGAGCCACTCATTCAAGATAAAAATGCGAAAGAGAGAGAAAGACAGAAGAGAGTTTCTTAATTATTCTATACAAATTATTCTAAAACTACCTATATCCTTAATTTTAATGTGACTGCCATGCTCTATTATTTAATTTAGAGTTGTATTAATCATAAAAATTATATAATTGTAAAATTCTAAAATTGTTTAGTAACTGTATTACGTTATATATATTTATAAATATGTGCGAAGAATCTGGAATTTAAATACAACTTTTTCAGAGTTCGATATTATAACTCAGCTTGCATTTGCAGGTCATACACAATACATAAAAAAAATCATTCGGATGCGTCGTAGCCTAATTTTTGGAAATTATACCTATATAAATATTATTTGCGACCAATACACATATATATAAGATTTCATTAAAACACTTTTTATCAATTTTCATAACAACTATCGTAAGATAAGTGACGCCGATTTTGTGACGGAGAATTTTTGCCAAACGGCAAGAGCGCTAGACCTCTTGCCGGCTACTCAACGGTCGAGTATCGATAAAGAGGCAAGTAAATAAAGGCGCATTTTGTGATCCGGCGAACCTCAGCTGGTCGCGGCAGATAAGACATATAGTCGTCGTGTAGTCGATCACGCTGTCGCGACGCGATAACGAAGCGCCCGCGTGAAACTCGTGGGGTAAACAGCCGTTACGACGCATCGGAAATCGGGACGAGCCCGGCGATCATCACGGATGAACTATTAATTTCATCAGTTTTTCATCTTAATTAATAAAATAGACAAGCACGCGGCTGGCTTTTTGACGGGCTGTAAAACAAGCGCCACTCGATATCTCGAGTGGCACGAGCGAATCGAGCGATTTTCACACCTTCCTTCCTCTCCGCGCGTCGCGCGAGCGATCACGGCAATTTTTCAATTTACGGTAAAGGTTGCGCTCTCGCGAATAGATCCGGCATCGCGATTATGTCGTTGACATTAAATTATCGGGGACGATATACGATTGTACGAATGCCGCGCACGTGAGGCGTGGCATTTCGCCGTTCGTGTCGCGTTAAAAAAAAAAAAAAATTATTCAAAGCGGCCGCACTTTCATCATTCTCCCTGCGCTCGAAAACGGGAAATTGGAATCGACTTGTGAAGTAATTTCGAGAAACGCTGTGTGACTGCGCAATTTTCTCTCTCTTCCACGAGAAAATTGCAATCTGTTCCGACCAATTCCGACTTTCAGAGAATTCATTTCCACGCGGTATCAACGGTCGCTCCGGTGGGGGAATTATCGCTATTTTGTGGTCGCGCGCTATCGACCCTCGCGCGAGGCGATCGAAAAATTCGGTCATCACCATTGGTTTCGCTGCCGCGATAACTTTGTTTCTGCGTGCATGGCTGTGTGATTGCAACATCAACGCGGATAGATTAATGCCGCGGACGCGATAAAATGTCCCATGTGTGTGTATTACGCTGATTTCCGCATTTGCATCTCGGCAGCTTAATCAGTCGGGAAACATTATGGCAGACTGGCAGTCGTAATATTTCCCGACGACTAATATTTCATTTGTTATATTTTTTTATTTACTACACGTTGCGTTACGCATGACAAATCATTCTTTTAAATAATTTAAAAAAAAATTTTTTTTTTTTTTAGTATTTTTCCTGCACGCGCGAACAGAGATTTTATATGTACAAGAGAAAGAGAACACACATATAATATGGAACATATTTTATAATTATAAATACTTATATGTATATGTTATATGTACTTTTGATTTGAAAAATTGTTTACCAGATTTGTAAAACTCTTCAGTGATAATGCGTGTGATAAAATTGTACGACCTAAAATCAGTATCGTGGATAAATCCACTCTTCAGATTTACCTATATAATTTAATTTTACTGATTACACACACACACACAAACACTTATTATTATTATTATTAATCAAAAGAAATTGTAATTTTTTTATATAATATGTACCTTTTATATAATATATTCGAGGTACGCATCGTTTGCGTGCGTCATTAATGATATTAAATAAAAAATAACACGATAATAATTTACGTTTGGAATACGGGCGCAAGAAAGCGATACAAATACTGCATTCTGGCGTCGTCTGAACGAACGCTCAAAGCTACTTTGCTGCTGCATGGACGACGTGAGATGACGCTGCCTGTGACTTTAGTAACTTTAGATTGTTGGTAATAATGGTAATCGTTGCCTTCTCACATGAAGTTAGGTATTCATGCATTATGGCTTCACGTGACAGATTAAATATAAAAAGGAAACAATAATAATAATAAAATCATATGGTATAAAATTAACAATAATAATAAGGAATCTAGCTAATTATGACAATTTTTTATTACACAACCGAAGCTCTTACCTACTTAATTGTAATTCTGAGATATATTTTTGTTATTTGTAAGATGTGTTGTGTACATATGTATATAATAAAAATCATGAGATGACGCGTGGCCTTGTGTAAGAACGATTAACTGATTTCGGGTTCAATTCCTATCCTCATCTCACATATGCTTTAGTTTTACAGGTTGAATGGAAGTTTTTAAATGTTTCGGATAAGAAAGATTAAATTTATCACCGTGTCTCCAATCAATTTTACTTCTCACAATCAGTTATTTGATACAAAACTTCTAAATTCTATTTTCCTTTTTCTAAACTTTCTTCTTTCCTTATATATAAACGCAGAAGCCTTCTCTCAAACTAATCATTCGCATGTCATAGCCATCCCAGAAGAGGTTGAATGGACAATCAAGGGTTGTAACTGGAAGAGTGTGAAGCAAATGGATTGGCTTGAAAATGGTAGAATATAAATTACAATTACATGAAACGAAGTTATTAAACCATAACTCACTGGAAGATAATTTAATTTATTCCGCGAACAGGATATGTAATTTCAAATAACGCATAATATAAAATAACGTTAAAAAGATAACAGTTACAGGTAGTAATTGCTTGGAAAAATAACATTCGTCACTACTTATACGCGGAAATCAATGTGAAATAGAGTTATTACTTAAACGGACCTATTTATTGGTATCGGCACTCCCTTTCTTTGGTAGCATACTTTCTAGTTCACCCGACTCGTCCATCTCTTTCACTATGTCCAATCCGCCGATCAGCTCCCCGTTCACGTACAACTGCGGATACGTCGGCCAATTGCTAAACTTTTTAAGTCCTTCCCTAACGGAATTGTCCTGCAATATGTCGAACGACTTGTAATCCGTCTTGTAACCGTCCAGGATGGAAACAATCGTTCTGGAGAAACCGCACCGTGGATTCGCGGGGTTCCCCTTCATGAATAGCATGCACTGCGCTTGGTTCACCAGTTTCTTCAACCTATCCTCAACAGATTCCTCCGCATCCTTGTTGTTCAGAAAATGCTTGATCTTCTCGGTCAATTCCGGGACATTGGCACCGTCCACCCTGCCCAACACGTTGCCGTCCCGATACAGAAGAACCGTCGGCACGACAGCCACTCCGGATTTCAGAGACACCTCAGGTTCGTCTTCCGCCTCGATCTTGGCGAACTTCACCTCCTTGTACTGCTCCATCTCGCTCATCTCCTCGAGCACGTCGTTCACTTGGGAACATTGCTCCGCCCATGGCGCGTAGAAGTGCACGACGGAAAGTTTCTTGGACCTTGCGCAACACAAAACATACTTATAAAACATACAGAAAGAAAATTATGAAAAAAACAGTGAGCGTACACTCGCGCATCCCTCACGCGAGGAAGAAAATACGCTAACCCTCTAATAGAAAAACCGACAAAGAGGAAAGAAATGTTTGAAGAGGTTATAAGGCTTCCATCGACCCGGTGCCCCGATTACTCACTTGACGAAGTCGTCGAATGCCTGCTCCGTGACCAGGTTGGTGACAGCCATCGCGTCACTCGCTTCCGGTCGGCCGGTTCTCCTCCTCGTGTTCCACCCGGCCGGGAAATGGCCAGAAAATGACACCGCTGACCGCCGTGTCGTCAGAACTCAACGCGTCTACGGTCTACGCGACCATCGGCGCCGTTCTCATGGCCGCGGGTTCGCCTCTCTCGGCGCAATCGCGCCGAACTTGCCGCGAAACGAGCAAACGGATGAACGGGACGTCGAGAGATAATACTTGTTATATTTTAATAAATATTTGCAATGTTTATGATAGGTGCCTCCGACTTTTTCGTCAAGAGGGTTATATTAAAATTTTTGTAATGACCGGATAAGTTTGATTTTTGAAAATCATATGAAGACAAAATATCTTTATTTTAAAATTCTTTTATATTTTAAATATAAAATATAAGGCTCTGAATCCGGTCGGGACCTATCAAAGACCCCTAATTTATAATATATTGTTAATATACATATAATTTAATAATATATGCACCATGTATATTATTATTATTATTATACCATATATAATTATTATTATTATCGTCAAAAATAATATATATAGTAGGAGATAAAGGCTGGATTGGACGACGACCATAAGTTTCTTTTGCCAATGATATAAACAATTCCTAACAATTCCTAATAAATTCAAATAAATGCATTGCAACACAATTTTACGAAATGACACAATTATTTATTACTTCGTAAATTCTACGAATTTCGTTTATTGACTCCCCTCAGGGTTGCAAGGCGTTTTTTTTTTGTATAGGGACGTTTTCCCTACTCAATACTACCCTTCTCCTCTCACTTTAACCCTTTGGACCAACGGCTTAACGTCTCTTTGCCAGTTTGCTCCGCACAAGAGCCTATTCTTGCACGGAGGGGCGCAGCTTTCGAAAAAACATTTCATGTTTACATGGCTCTAGTGGACTCGAACTACGAGTCTGGCGCTCTACCACTAGACTTGACTAGACCACACGGCCCAAATTAATATATATAATATGTGATATTCATAATATAATATATGCTATTGAGATGAGATACTTACTTAATTGTTAATTGCTCGTGGCCGTCATCCATGAGATTCGCATTCTAAAAAGGTTCATTCTACGAGATCTTAATTAAAGTACTTCGTAATAAGTCACGGTCTGATTAGCTGGACTTGAAATTTTTCAGGCAAAACGTCGAAGTTTTTCTTATTTGCAATTTTGCAATTATAACAACCGCGGTTAAGACGTTTAATAAAGAGCAACGATCGCTGCAGAGGAGATTAATTCTGTTTCGCAACCGCCGTCGAGAAGGCGGATTACAAATAAGAAATCACGCGACTCATTTTTCTTGCCTTTCTCTTCCAAAGAGATACTTCATTATTACTTCAACAATCTAGCTATCGAACGAAATTTTATTCATTTTATATCATTTTTTTTCTATTATATATATTTTTTTCTTTAAGAAGAAATCGGTCGCAGGAATAAAAGAGTTGTCGGAATTAAAATCACGTGCTACAAGAATTATATTTCAAAAACGCGACTCAGACAGTCAGACGATCACATTTCGCGTGAAACTAGGCACGGGTCATAAGTCATAATTCACTCAAATATGCGAGAGGGGGGGGGGCACTCACCTCGCGCGAGACAGGCCTGACGACGCAGGTGCGCTACGAGAAACTGACCAATCGCGCGCGAATGGCCACCGGCGAGGGTGGCGGCCGCGAGTCGGGGGGGGGGGGGGACAGGAGCATGAACGACGAAAGACGAGCGCGAAGAGGGGGGAGGGGCAGACCTGTCAGACGGTCGGTCGCGCGGCCGCAAAAAGCTCATGCAGACGCCGCCGGACGGCGAACGTGCGCGTGTGACGGTCAATTTTTTTTTCTCCCTCGCACGCGCGCGCGCGCGCGGGGCGGCCCGCGATGTCCAAGAAGCTGTCGCGACACGATGCCCTCGACGACATCTCCACCTGGAACACGGAGGGAGTGCTGTGCCTGCTGCGCAAGGTGAGTGAAGTTCGTCCGCGTCGCGGACGACGAAGGGAAGTCGATCGCGGAGCGCGAGTGGTGGGTGCAACTTCACGGCGGACACCGACTGTCAAAAGGCGCGACGCGACCGGAGCAACGTCAGGGAGCACGGGGAGGAGAGAAAGAGAGTGTGAGACGTGCGAGGCGCACGTGCGCGTTAAAAGGCAGTAAATACGCGTGTATTTATAGCGCGCGACTCGTAGGAAGGAGAGGATTGTGCGCCGCGGAAGAGGCGCGGGTGGCCTCGCCAGGATTCCCGAGCGATTTTCCGGCGATCGTCGAGTTGAGGTTACCGACCCTCGCTCGCGGCTCCTCCGCACTCCTCTATACGCTCGCGACTTTTTACCTAGCTGTCTCCAGAATAGTCCATGCAGAAACGTATCTCACGTGCTGAAGGTACCGAAGGATCGAGAATCTAACAAACCGAATCCTGACGCAAAGATAAAAACTATGATGAATATATTCAGTTGACGAGGTGCGAAGAGGAGGATTCTGTAATTTTATTAGTAAAAGTACTTATACTTTTGGTACAATTAAACTACTATTTAGTATAGTATTTTACTATAAATTTACTATACTAAAAGTATACTTTTACCAATTAGAAAGTAATAACTAGTATACTTTAGATATTTATTTAATTAGTAAAAGTATTTATTAGATGCAAAGCGGAAGACTGTTATTTTATTGTAAAAATAGATATTTATTTAATACATTCAATACATTTTATTATAAAGTAACGCAGCTAGCTGTAACACAGTCACATAAACGTCGTTTATCTCACCCGAACTTCACACGTGTCTAAAAGACGTCTCGGAGGTATCTCAGGAATGTCTTTCGAACGCGCGTATCACCTGGATAAGTTTTTAGGAAAACAGGATTCTTACGTTTATCGATTTAACAAATTGCATTATTACAGATTGCCGCAGAGAAGTAGCCCTGTTTCTTTAGAAAGACGGAACTTTCTGAGTCACGTGTAACGAGAGCGTTTCGCCCGAAGCATCGATTATCGTGCGTTAGGGACAGCTCGTCTTCTGGAAAACTCGGCCGGCGAAAGGAAAGGGACACGGCACTTTGCATTTCTTCGCGCGCGATCGGAATCGCGCGTAACTTTCACGCATTCCTCATCGCGGCAACGCCGTCTGAATGCCGGTTTAAGGAAATCGTCGATCGTCGTTTCCTCGCCGCAACTTCGTTTCCCTTCAATCTCACGAAAAGAACGTTACACGGCCCAGATTTCTTCCTCACGGTCAACGTTCCATACGACTGAAAAATAAATTAATATGTGTATAAATCTTGAAAAAAAGGAAGAGAGAGAGAGAGAGAATGACTTTGAGAAAGAAATCTTGAATTTTTCCGTGATTTAGATCATTTGAAATAAGCATAAAATCACACAGTGAGGGCACAATTGAACACATAAGCAAGGAAGTACATATTATCTTATCTATTCTAGTACCATCATCGAGATGAAAATGTTAGAATTCGGTAAATAACTCGCACTCAACGATGTGTATGACGCTACTTTTCCTCGACACATCATCATTATTGGATCATTTCCTCTTTTCGTCTTTTTTTCCTTTTTTTTTTCTTTTTTATCAATTAATATTATTAATACATTAATGAATGCATTCTTTCTCCATGTATGAGAGATTATCAATTTCTATATATACATATATGTGCGTAGTCTTTATCAGTATCCTGTCAACGATTTCCTGCCAACAATTTCCTCATTTTACAGAACGGGTTGGAGGAATGTTGCAAGGCAGTGGCGAAACGGCAGATCGACGGCGATGAGTTGCTGGTGAGTGAATTATTGTATTGCTACGAGGAGGACAGCCTATATATGCCTCGTCGGTGTTCCTGTCGGTGATCCCCAAGTTGCTCGAATGTACAGCTTGCCTTAAAAAAATGCAGCGTCCTGATAATGAAACCTCAAACTTCGCGTTTTCCGCGTTACTTGATTTAATCAGCAAATTGAGAAATATTATTTCCAGCAGATATTGACAAACAAAATTATATCAGTAGCATATAAAAAATCTTGAAGTTGGACACATTATTTTTATATGTTAATCAGATTGATTATATTTTTTAAAAACAAAGATTCACATTAATCTTGATTTATAAGAGAAAATTTCAAGAATTAGCTACGCGTGCTTATCGCGCCACTTATCTTTTTACGTTTACTTTACGAAATTTATTTACGTGAACGCCCACGACGATTCTCTCCGCGAGAAATTAATTTTCGTCGATTTAACCCGTCTGAAAAATGTTTTCTCGCCGGCTTAATAAATCTCCGAAATCCGCCGACTCGATGGTAATTAGAGAGACTCGCGTGCCACGCGAGCGATGATTATATGTGTGTACCCACTTCCACTGATAATGCGACGTGTTTTTTTTTCTGGTTGCAACAGCAATATTTCGAGACGGCCGGTGACGGCGCGCGCGCTCTTAACGGGGCCTTAATTAATCGTAATTATTCCAGCACTTGACGGATGGGAAGCTGGCTCTCTGGAGGAGTGACCTCACGCGTCCACTGACAGGGTGAGAGAACGAACCAAATCCAGCTTTATTTCTGCCCGAGTCGTGCTATTGCCTCCGCTCTTTTTCTCTTCTTCGCGGAATCGTGTCTCGCGATCTTCTCTCATAACGCGTTCTCTCTTAACGGTATCCGAATTATTCAGTATGCTGAACAGTCCATCGCGTTCACGTACCGTTTGTAAGTGTTTACGTACTTAAGAGATACAGGCATAAAGCATACAATTCGACTAGGAATTCCTGAAATAGAAAATGCCATGTAATATATGATTAATACGTGATTTTAATATTGTCTCATTTTATTTTTGTTTATTTTATATTTTTAGATCTTTTTATTTTTATATTTTTTCTTTTTCAAGTATCTAAGGCGCTATCTTTATCCCTTGAAATAAGTTTCTGGTAGCAAGGAATTGCTGACTTATACGACGCGGTCGCGCAGCAAGAATGCGCTATGTGGCTAACTCTTTATAAAGACGCCGTCGCAAGCTATTCGCGAAGATATGTTTCGCGCGACTGGATAATTATTTGATGACTGCAAGTCGTGCATAAATGCATAATTCTATCGCGTGGGTCGTGTCCGATCGTTTCACTCCACATTCGCGTCGATTTAACGTTTGCATTGCCACGTTACTTATTAAACTCAACATAATTCCCTATTCTTCTCGCGTTGAAGATTAACATTTTACTGTTAGGCAAATGTCGAATTTTGTTAAATTAAAAAATTATTAATATTGATTATTGCAGAAAATTATGGGCATTTGTGCAAGAACTGAATAAGTCCCCAGAAAAATATCTGCCGGCCAGGATTGTAGAAGTGCAACAAAATGATGATCACTTGAGCGATGGTGGTTCTTGGGGAACCGATTTCGAGGATGAAACGGCCGAGGAAAATAACTCCACCGAAGATATGCAGGAAATCATAAAACCAAGTCTGATTAAGAACAAGCAAGCGTCTTTGCAGAATAATAGAATATCGATTAGCAGAACGCCGACGCGACCACCGTCGAAGAAAATAATAAAACCGGAGGAGGAAGAGACTTATGCTAATTGTCAATCTGCTCAGAACGAAGAGGAGAATATGTACGCGAATTTTCAAGAGACTAAACCACCACCGACAAGAAACATCTCGAGGCTACACAGTGAATTGGAAAAGATGACTCTAGCCGAAAAACTGAAGTTGGAGTTGGAGGAGTTAAAGCGGAGGAATGATCCGACAAAGAAACCTGAGATCAGGCCAAAACCAGAAACTTTGCCGTTGAAAAGAATCCCGATGACGGCTTCCGATAAGAAATCTCCGCAGAAATCTTTTCTGCACAACGCGCCAAAGACGCACGAGCGCGTTTCTAATGAACAAAGCAAAACCCAAAGTTAGTTCTTTTTCATATCATGTTTGTGTGTTGATTCTTTCGATACGGATCTCGATTTTTTTATGAATAATGATATTAATGATATGATATTAATAAATATTGCATTGCTTGGCTTTCCAGGAAGGATGGGCGTGCCGCCGCCGCCGGAACCTAAGAGAAACAAGGACTACACATCTATGGAGGTCAAGAAAGAAGCCGACAAAGAGTTATCGAAACCACCGGTTATCTTAAGAAATTTCGATCTCGTGGCAAATTTGCCGGCGCAAACGGAGGAGAGTGAGGACGAGTACGAGCCGCTCGACGATAACATTATCGAGCACGTGCAGCAGCAAAACGAGATCTCGCGAGTTGATAGCAAGCAATCGTTACACAGCGGTCGCCAAGGATCAGTCGAGAGTGTTTACAAGCCACCCAGCGCTGCGAGTCACGAGGAGGAGGAGGATTACGAAATTTACGAATCTATTACGGAAGCGGTAAGTCTTCAACGGTCACTTCGGAATTGTGATTACAAGACTTGATGAATTATTTACTGTTATGTTGCATTAGCCGGAGGATAATGATTACCTGAGCCCTATTCAAAGGCATGCAAATGATGCACAAGAGCCACCTCCTTTACCCGCCAAACCATCGCCGCCCCCACCGCCTTCGACTCTTCCCAGTAGAACTAGCTCGAAACACAAAGGTAAGCCTATTTCTCTGCATTACAAAGAAACTGTGACCAGACAAACAATTAAAAATATTATATAGTTACATATAAAATATTATAGGGATAAAATTGCATAAATAACTTCTTAAATCATATTTTGACATTAGCAATGATAATGTTTAATGGAGAGTTATAAGTAATAATTAATTTTTTTTTTAAATAGTTTGATTAATTTTTTCTTTCTTAAAAATATAATCTTAAAAACTTGAAGAAATCTTAAAGATTGGAAAATTTCGTTTGTTATTACTCGATACAATGTTTAACTCATTTAAAGAGCGATTAAATGCAAACCATTTTTGTTAGTGACACGTTAGGCGAAATAATGAAACATGCGTTCTAGCGAATGAAAAAAAATGCAGGGTACCGTAGACTCGAGACGAATGCAAGACAGTAGTCGTAAGAACTTCTGAGCATATGTTCGACAAATGTTGCTTATCGTTGGTTCCCATGCAACCTGATGCGCATTGCCATCGCGATATTGCACACAGTCGCGTATCGGCCACCGTCATCAAGACCGGATTTGCACAAACCGTTCTCTCTTTGTGATAGCTGTACAACGCAGAATAGTGTTTTGCTTCTGTCGCAGTATGTCAACGACGTTGCCGCAATTATTCGTAATCTGCGGCATTTTTTGTGTCCGGAAGTCGAGACCTTCGACCTTCAATATGAATAAAAGATCTCAAGCGTTAGGCAGGATCGGTGAGGTAAATCACCGTAGGTTTTTGACTCGAGTGTGAGACGTCAACAGTGCGAAACGTCGAGTCGATTTTGTCAGTAAAGTCCCGTGGCGGAGAGATTGCAGTCCGTTCTCGATTGATAACAAAATATATATACATGGAACTCCCCGGGGAAGAAAGGAAACGATAAGTCGCAAGGACAGACAAGATAGAATATACTACAGCGAATTCTATTTCTAATCGCGATTCGTACGACGTGTCTGCCAAGAACTGCGATAAGCGTGTGGAAGGATTCGATAAGAGACCGAGAGAGCGAAACACTGGGTGATGGAATGTGTTCCTGTTTTTATCTACGGCTGAGCAAACATCTCCTAGGAGGTCTGGGCACGCGCCTGGCCGATGAGGTCGCCGATATGATAGTGCGGATCAAGAGAGGCCTGTCTACGTGTTGTTATTCGCAACCGCCTGAGCCACCAGGTACACAGAACGATTAAACAACGCATTGTTCGATGACTTATCTGCATTTGCATCGATACGGTGTCATGCGATCGTGCTACAATGCGAGAATGTTGCGCTAATGGAACATCTGTTCTCTCTTCGTTCGCCGAAGGTCGTCGAACTCCAAACGGCGGACGAAAATATATTTCAGAAATTAATTATTCGCTTCCCACATATACGTTAATTTTTGATAAAACGTATAATATTATTTGGCATAATTATATCGATATATCTTTACAACGTAATTTGTAATTAACTATTTGCAATATAATTTATGTTTGTATGAAGATAAGAGTATCCAAATATTACCGCGATATCTCTCGGCAGGTAAACTGACGTTGTTAAAATTTATACTTGGGCAAAAACGCTTCCGAAATAACGTAGGAAAATCTTACATTATTTTTTTATTCAGGTATATATTCTGTCCAGTTTGTTAAATCTGAAAAGTTTTTCGATGTAATAAGAGTAATACGTGATCTTCCTTCTATGTTTATTTTTACAGTCGGAATTCATTTTTGATAATTATCATTTATGTGACTTCTGCGTTTTACAAAGATAAACTTGTAGATGAATAGTTGGCTGCCTTAGGAGAGAGCACGAGATACTGAAAATTCCATCCTTCTTTTTGAAAAGAAGACCACCTTTATCAGATTTTCTTTGTTTCTCGCGACCACCGTAGGATCGTCGACCTTCCCGATCTGATTTACGGAAGTTATTCTTGAACGCGCTTCGGATGTGTCTACGTCCCATGCCGAGAGACCAACGGATTGACCACCACTTTTCTTTTTTCGCGATGCTTTAAAAGGCTCGTGATGGAGTTAAATGTCAGTTTCGCTGAGATTCTTGCGACGATCGTATCGTGCATCGGGCGTGTTCCTCAAACCGGTGCGTCTTTAAAAAATGCATCTCCGGACGATAGAAAAATTAACGACAATACACTTTTGATAGTTGTCTAAACGTATTCGCGATCCGCCAAAGTATACGTGACGAAATTCGCGACACGATGGCAACTATAATTAGCGATACAAAGCGGAATATATCGCTCAATACGGCGGTACGCCGGCAAACGAGTCTTTCGGAGTGTTTGACACAGGAGACTCTTACGCAAGCTCGACTTAACTTAGCAAGTTAGTAATGTTCGATCGATTTGTATTTTAGTGAGATTTAAATGTTTGTGCAACGATGTCTATTTTTTATAGTAAAATATTGTTCTCGTTTTTATAAATTAAAATCGTTATCAAATTATGTAATCATCAAATTACTCTTTCCACAAGTTTATAATATTATATATACATTTTATCTGGTTTATTTGGAGCTGTGTATTTATTGTATAAATATAAAAACGTATTACACATTAGTACATGTATTGTGTATAAATACGTAGCAATTATTGAATCAATTTACATCCGCTTGGTCTTTTTACATGTTTGCAGAGCGATCACCGGATAAGAAATCAGCCACATTACCTCATGCTGGCAGCAATACTTCACTGTCAACCGAGAGAGCCACGCGGCCGTTGCCACCGCCACCCGAGAGGCAATCTTACGTGGACAAGCCCTGGTATCATAATATCACGAGAGAACAAGCAATTATTCTTATCAAAGAACGTATGTGTTAATCTTTTAGATCTTTTTAAATAGAAACTTTTAAAAGAGAAACGCGGCTAAATTTTCCTAAAAAATTATCAAAATTAAGATCGCGAATTAAAATCTATTTAGAATATCTATTTAGAATAATATATGAACGTCATAAAAATATCATTTGAAGATATTTTATCTTCTGTATTTTTTTATTGTAAGATATTTTTTTACTTAACATGTAAGAGCCGTGTAAAATTTATAATTCGATGCAATATAACTATTGAATTGTATGTTTTCAGAAGGTTCTTACAGTAATCCGCAAGACGGATATTTTCTTATGAGACCGTCGACGACAAATCCCAGCAATCCTTTAATTTTGGTTCTTTGGTTCAAGGACAGGGTTTTCAATGTTCCGGTCAGGAAGAGAAATGACAACAGGTACATATGCCTTATTTATTAATTTTATTGTTTTATTAAGATGCCTTTTGCCGTATACTCAGCATTGTAATCTAAATTTAAATATTATGAAAAAATATATTGTGTTAATATTGTATTAATCTGATAAATGATTGGGCAAAATTTTAGGGCCAACATTTTATATATGATTGAAAAATTTTAATACTCCACTTTATTTTATTGTTAGCAAAGAGGAGACATGAAAAATTTAGCGTGTAACTCGCATGCAATACGCGCGAAGATAATTTTTTGTTAATTTATTATTTATTCTATACAAATAAAATTTAGTTTACAAGAATATTTCTTAAAATTGTTTAGGTACGCGTTGGGCTCCCCGAAAGTGAAGGAGCTGTCTTTCTCGACGGTGGAAGAAATCGTGACATATCATATGAAGGAGGAACTGGAACTCCACAGCAACGGCGTACCGGTCGGAAGTACGAGATTGACTGATACTCCACCAAAGTGATTTTTTAGTTCGCTACATTCGAGCCTATTTTATGCGGGAAGGAAGAATCTTTGTTGATAATCTCGCTGTATATAAGGGCATATAAACACTGCCGAGCAAACATTTTTTGCTCTAAACATTGTGAGAGCATGAAGAACACAATTAGGCCGACGAACAAGGATTTAAGCGGTGCCTTTATATATTGAGAATAGATGCGTGAATTAATCAATTGCGTAATCGTGTCGCACACGAGACATTATTATTTTACTACTATTCCAATGGCAAGTTCTGATTCGATTTGTTCGTCTAAGATTTATCTCGACAATTATGCGTGCCTTCGATAAAGTGACGTAAGCGAACTCGATTATGAAGCAACGGATCTCTATTGCGGTAAAGATACATATATTTTTAATATATATATATATATCTCAGTTTCTTATGAATTGGATATATTTATGTGCTTAAGAGAATAGATATTTTGTAGGATAATTTTTTTTAGTCCTTCATCGAGCGGGGAAGTAATATTGTATCGTTACTTTTTTATCAGTATTGTTATATTTTTATCCGTGCACATCGGTCACACGTTTGATCTGTGCCGACTGATGATTGATCACACATGTACGTACATGCTATATCTTAGCTTTCGAGGGACCGATGCGATGATGTGTACGAAGACTTTATTAAATCTTTCTTAGAAACTGTGCAGAGGCTTCTTTATGCGTACGGGAGACGAGCGTTCGCTCATCCATGAATGAAACGGCGCAATATTGCCGGTCCTATCGCTCTTTCTCTCGCGACTGTTTACGTTTTCTCCTGTTTCTCGTCCTCTTCCTCGCTCTCCGTCGATCACGATTGCGATCCAATTTTGTAAACGTGAATCATACGGGTCGCGCGCGCGCGCGCACACACGTCTGTATCTCGCACGCCAACGGGAATACGGACGATAACGATAACGTCGACCGAGTCGCCGGACGTATTGATAAACGATTGTGAAAGTCGTGGTCGTCAGTCGCGCGGTCAGCACTGTCAGTAGTGGAATTCCGTCAGTGGGCGAATTCGATTCGTCGTAGACTCGTGTAAATGTTAAACCTCTTTCTCACGTGTTCGTGACAATCGTTTCTGTCGTCCACGATCGCGTCCGTGAACTTTGAGCTAAGCTAATTGATAGAAGTAGAATCATAACGTTAACTTATTGAGTGTCACGAGCCGATATATCTAACGAGTTCACTTGAGTCGACTCAGTGATATCGTAGGAAGGGAACGATTACGATAAATAAATCGGAAGGTATATCTTTTTTTTATTGAATATTTCTGATGTAACATAATATTCATGTGCCGCTAGAATTCGTGAAATTCGAGCGTTAAATGTTATCTGGTAATAATCTTTCCTCGATAATGTACAACGGGGCGTGTTGTTGATACTATATCTATTTACTTGCTGCGCACAGAATCCGTCGCAAGCTTAACTTTAATTACGCGTCATTTGCGTTCAATTTTAACAAAAATCTCCAATCTCCGTTATATTGCAGCCAAGCTCCAAGTATAAACATTTATGAAGTATCATCCCTGAAAAATCCTGAAAGCTAGTTGCTGAAGAACCCGATTCTAGATTCTATTTATTTAGCTCTTCGAGCTTTTCTGCCAAAACTATCGCTTTTGCTGGGAAGAAAAAGGATTTTTTCGGAGAATCAATTTTCTGCTTTCCGGAAGACGGGTTTGAAAGTACGCGCGAGAACGGTCCGCGATCACGTGGGTGAGGCCTAGTAACATTTCGGGGACGCGTTCGCGCGGTGTGGCACCTCGATGGACACGGAACAGGGGGTGGGCGAGGGCAGGAGAGAAAGAGGGTCGTCGGCGGGATGAACGGATCGTACGATTCATACCGTATTACCATACGACGAATTTGTGCGCACCGTCTCGTTAACTGTTGACAAGTGGAGCCGTCAATTGAGCCCCTCATTTGGCACGGTCACTTAAGGAGCTTTTGTAGGCGCGGTTCCGAGCGGGGCGTTATTTGGCCACGTTCAGCGAGCAGGAGGAGGAGGTGGCGGAGGAGGAAGAAGATGCTGTCGTGAGCGGTAAATAGCCCCGACCTGGCCCCCTCCGGCAGGCACCGCGGACACGATAAACCCGATAAACAATGTTAACGTGAGTCAACGGCGCTCCGAGCGAGCGAGAGGACGTGTCGCGCGGGACGGGATAAGACGTGGGGGTGAGAGAGAGAAGGAGAGGCGGGAGAGCGAGACCGGAGAACGATGTTGCTGCCTGCGCGGGTAAGATAAGACGTGCTAATCGCTCAAGAACGCCGCCCCAGGAGCAATGGACGATGAACAGCCGGCGAGGGAGGCCAACAAGATCTGCGGCGTCTGCGGCGACCGGGCGCTCGGCTACAACTTCAACGCCGTCTCCTGCGAGAGCTGCAAGGCCTTCTTCAGGAGGAACGCGCTGAAGAACAAGGTGAACTTCACTCCCGCTCCCGACTCGAAGCTCTCCAGCTGGCTGTTACTCCACAGGAGAACTCGAGAAGATCTCGATATTGCGTTTAAAAATTTTATAAATACTTTAAATTCTTGAAGACTGAACTTTCTGTCCGTGATGACTTCTGAGGAAATTGTCTTAAAAAGAAGTCAATTTCACATCTTTTAACATTGATCTTAATATCGAGGAGCTTCTTTCTTGAATTCAGATACAAATTCAAGAAAATTCTAATACATATAGAATTTTTAAATAAAATTCTGTATGTATTAGACTACTATTGCTGGATTACTCATATGTGTGACTCATTAGAAATCTGATGATCTTTATGAACTTGAAGTTCTAAAAAAAAGGGTTATATCACTGTTGCGTTGAATGCATTAGTTAATTTGAATCATTTCTGAAGAACTCGAGAAAAGATTAATCTTAACAAACTTAATTTAAGTTTCATTTTTCTTAGATTCAAAAAAAAGATTAGATTATTATTGAGCCAAAAAATGTCTTTAATTAATTTGTCTGCGATTAATTGGTAGTTTTGGTCATTTTATGTTTTGAAAATCTTATAATTGGGAGGATCTTTTTTTTGTGTATTTATCGGCAGACCCAAATTGAAGCTGATTTTTTCTCATTTATATCTATATTACTCACATGATTTTTTATGAGATGATAAAAATGCACCGATTGAAAATATCTCGTTTGACCCGCCAAAAGATTTACAACGGATGTATACAAAAGATGCAGTTGTTAATCTTAAAAGCAACATCTGCTCATTGAAATTTATTGACGGTGGACTTGAGAACGCTAGATAAGATGTATTTTCTTTCAGATACTGATGTATTTTTGTATTTGAGACAACTTCCGTTTAGCATAGCAGAATGTTATTACGATTTATTTGTGAGTTTAACTGAAAACGAACGAATGCGGATATTAATAGACACGATATTTTGGAAATTTACGTTTTCTTAGCAAATGTATAAATATATAAAGCAGTACACCTTTTACATTAAGCTAAAGAGAAACATATGTTCTCGTTGCAGGACTTTAAATGCCCCTTCACGGAAAACTGTGCCATCACAATCATAACTAGACGATTTTGCCAAAAATGCCGTCTGGATAAATGCTTCAGTATCGGCATGCGCAAAGAGTACATCATGTCTGAAGAGGATAAGGTCCTGAAGCGGAAGAAGATCGAGAAGAACCGCGCGAAGAAACGGTCTCAGCCCGACAACGGCAAGAAGATTAAAAAGGACTGCGTAGACGATTGTACGTTCGAGGACACGTCGATGTCGATCAATTCGGTCGCATCGGCGATGTCGGAAACGTACTTTTGGGAATCTGATAAAAAGTACACGGACCTGGACAGCAACAGGCAAAACGTTGTTGAAAGTATGAGTCCAGTGACAGCGGCGAGCGTGCCGAGTCCTTCGAGTCCCCCAGAGAACACGAATATCGCTGAAACGAAAACGCTGGACATGCTGAAGGAATCCGCTCCGAGGTCCAGTCTTGCTAGGTACGACCGATTTATCTGATATACAGAGAGCGGCGGAGAAGTAAAAATCAATAAAAATTAAATAGGGATTGTTTGTTTACAGCCGCGCGAGATTCACCGATCTTAACGTGGCGCCTCAGAGTACAGCGACGGACAAGAGCTCTCCTTCGAATTCGGGGAAATACGAGCAGAGCTCGCTACAATTCAGCTCCGCTTTTGAAGAGAACGCGCCTAATTACTCCGCATTCGAGCAGACTCGCGAACAAAATTCCCCCGTGTATATAAATCGCGCGTCGCAGGGCGAGACGAGTCGTTCTGATCCTCTTTCGTTGTCGCAACTCGCGAAAGAGGAGACGTCGATATGCCAGAAACCGAAGGAGATGTGTTCGAGCGGGAACAATTTGGTCGCCAAGTTCAAACAGGATCCCGGTCTGCTGACCAAATTAATCAATAGGCCAAATTTAGTCGCCAAGATAATTCAAGATCAGAGGGTATTAATGAAGATTATGACGGATCCTGATATGGCTACGTGTTTGGCGGCAGATCCGTATATCACGCAATTCTTGAAGGAGCACGACACAATTGATACGGCGATCATCGGGCGCGACCGTGACGCCAAAACAAGAGTTCAGTCGAGGGAAGCTTCAGAGAATAATGCCAGCTCGGGTGATTCTAGGCATATCCCGAAGTCCAAGGGAGGTCACGTGGAAAATCCGATCCTGACGGACTTGATTACGAACCGCAACGCGGAGGAGTATAAAAATCAAAATTTGGAAACTAGTACAAATACAGATTGGCATAAAAATACAGCCGACGTTACCAAAGATGTTCTTCAGGACGTACAAAGGTAGCCCGTTATACATCGAGTACATTATATATACTCGATATATATTTTCACACGCCACGAAACCCGCCGCTAAAATTGAAAATCTGTTTCAGAATACCAATCGCTGCCAATTCTATAGAGTCTATCTTATGCGAGGCTATCAAGTTAGAATATTCAGCATTTTCTAGTTTTGGTGGCAACCAAAGCAGCAGGGAATTGAATGACGCCGAGAGAGCGAAATTGAACGAGCTGATAGTTGCTAACAAAGCGTTATTAGCTCCGTTAGACGATGACATAACAAATTTGGTTGGCGAAGAGTGTAAATTCAAGGTAACACGTTTAAAACTTTATGTCTCCTGTGTGTGGAATTTAGGAAAAAGTAGATAATAAGTAGTTATAAAATATTTATTTGCAGAATAATTTTGGACAATCTGATCCAATGTTGTTGGACGTTATAAATTTGACGGCCATAGCAATTAGACGCTTGATAAAAATGTCCAAGAAAATAAACGCCTTTAAGAATATGTGTGAAGAGGATCAGCTGGCTCTGTTGAAAGGCGGCTGCACGGAAATGATGATCCTAAGATCAGCCATTAATTACGATCCGGATAAAGACATGTGGAAAATACCCCATAGCCAAGAGAGCATGTCGAATATCAAAGTTGACGTTCTGAAAGAAGCGAAAGGAAATTTATATGCGGAGCACGCGAGATTCGTCAGAACGTTCGACCCCCGGTGGCGTGACGAAAATATTATTTTGATTTTAAGCGCAATCGCCTTGTTTACTCCCGATAGACCGAGAGTCGTACATGGTGATGTTATTAAATTGGAGCAGGTAAGTCGAATCTTTCAAATTTTTTAAGTAACTTATTATTCTGAGACATTCTTATATTCTTAAAATATATGTACATAATTTCAAATAATTTACACAATATTGGAACAATACATATGGAAGTTGGCAGTCAGTTTTATAACATGTATTTTTAGCAGATAAAGATTTAGAAAATTTGTTGGACCAAATTTTTCATGGATTTCTTTCTTCCAGAATTCATATTATTATCTCCTCAGACGGTATCTGGAGAGTGTTTATCCTGGCTGCGAAGCTAAGTCCACATTCCTCAAGTTAATACAGAAGATTTCTGAACTCCATAAACTGAACGACGAGGTCGTGGGAGTTTACTTGAACGTCAATCCATCCAGCGTAGAGCCGCTGCTTATAGAAATATTCGATTTAAAGCACTGATTATTTAGCTTGTAAAGTCTACGAGTTCTCTTTGTGTGTGTATAATAAGGGAATCGTACTAGTACATTTGAGAAAATACTACATTCATGCTGCAATGCATGTATTCCTAGGGTTATCTTTAATCAAGAAAACCGCACGATGGCTACATCGCCGATCCGGATATTTATGAAAATATTATTGTAAGTAAAACTTCAACACTGCATTGCCTCCTTGTATGAATGATATCGTGTAGCAACACGTCTTTAAATATTTTTAAGCGATGGAATGAAGACTATATGTGTAAAATATCGAAATAGTTTAACGTAAAACTGAAACGTGCGCGCGCGGTCGCGCTTAAAACATCGCCAGGAACCACATTAACTACATATAAATCATAGACATTATGGGTATCAATGTCCGCCATAATTTAATGTAACTCATCACAAGTGGAACGGCAAGCGATTCACGCGTCAATCCGAATAAAGTTGATTAAATTAGGACACTAATAAGGTAATAGAGTGCCGTAATTAATAATAAACAATATTTCGCTTCGTAACAAGCACATATTGTATCATTAAGTATTTCGCGAAGTATCTTTTGAGCTCGATATCGTTCTCATTGCGTACTGAGAACAAATGTATGCGTACAACGACAGCATAATAATTCCTAGGTGGCTGTTTCGATCATGTGTTTCCTCGAAAAATAGTTAAATATGTAATTATATATTTTTTAACACGTGGATCGTTAAATTTTAAGCAAATGAATGTTATTTAATGCGACAAGGCCTGTGCTCATATATTATAAATATATTATATAGATTATTAAGAGTTGTAATTGTGTCGTTAAAAAATTTGTTTTAAAAAAATGAGATTACAATGAAAACAACTATATGAATTATAGTAATCATGCTTATGGTATAAGCAGCTTTCAAAGTCTACATGTAAATAAGAGAGAGAGATATTATACTTGTATATATGTGTCGTTGTGTAATGTACACGAGATAAATTGTGATATATCCTGATATAAATATATTTTTCAAAAATACGTTGCCACGTAATTTTATGCCGGCGATAAGTTTCTCAAGACGCAAATGAAGGTTTTTTCGCGCTTAGTATTTATATTCAATTAACGATAATGATAATTTTATTACATCACTTACCAGATACGATACGTCTCCGGATCCCTTAATCATCTGCGTTCGTCTGTCGGTAGAACGCCAAAAGCGTACAAAATAAGGATTACTATCGCGCTAATACAGCCCGCGACAAATATCAAGCTGAAGAGAGACAAGAGCAAATACAATGCAAATTTAATGACCAGACAGGAAATCCACAATATGAAGCCCCATGCCGTATCCCAGATGGCTTTCAGTCCCATTAATCCCATTCTTTTATCATTGTGAAATTTGGTGCGTATAGAGTATAGAGGAAACAAAATTCATGTCTCGATTGTGTGCTACAAAAAAAAATTGCTTGGTTTATTGTTAATTTTTTTGAAGTTTATCTTTACGAGGATACCAATACACTAAAGTATGTACATTATTTTCAATGCGTACTCCAAAAGATTTTATTATATTGCTTTCGGTTTCATAAAAATTTATATACACGCTAAATCGATATTTACAGTAATTTTTACAAACGCGAATTCTTTCATTTTTCGCAGATTTGTGTATGTCATTCATGTATTTAGAACTACACGTGTGCTTCATAACCGCTCCAATCGGAAACTTACTAGAAATCTTTCCAATTATTAAGCACGCGAAATAATCTGTTTATAACTTTAGCAACGTGTCTGCAGATAAACTGTTTCAGCGCCGACTAAGCATATTTTTCGAAATTCATTTATTTATATCTTATCATGTACTTTCTCCGTTTCCGTGAATGTGAGCGCTTTTACAGTCGGACGTATGAATTTTTAATTCTACCGAATGTTCCGTCTTTCACGTCTCCGGATAATGATCGCGCTTGTAATGGAAAAAGATCTCGACATTGCTGTCGTACGGCTTGACGAATGGACAATTAATCTTCTCCGCGGCCACGTAGCAGGCGCCTAACGCCCCTGATGTTGTCAAACGCATCAGACTCAACTCGTCCACGACGTGCTTGTCATGGATTTCATTCACGAAACCGTCCTTCAAAAATTTCCACGATTTCCATACAGATCCGACGCAGATCACCTTTAAGCCACCGTGAGCGAGTTTGAGATCCTGGAAAAAACACGCGATTTAAACAAAATCATTAGCAGGTCGATTTTATCATAAAATTTCTTTTCGTTATGAAGTTTTATTCGATATAAATTGGATCGTTTTATCCCTTTTGTAGCTAAGATACTGACATTATGAGCCTTTTTCGAGAGGGCGTCGACATGTCTCGCCAGAAGTTGCCCAGCTTCCTCAAAGATTTTCAGGCACAACAGATCGCCTCTCTCGCAACCGACCACAACTTTCATAGTGAACTCGGCAATAGTGCTTTTGTTGAAATTCGCGTAGAAATACGGTAATATACCGTTCCTATCAGTCACATTGAAGTAACTTCTCATCGCCGGCCAGATATAGCTTATTGACGCTGGTGCTTCCACGAAACCGTCCATATCGTCGAATACATATTTACAGGCGCGACGGGCGATCCAATAAGCTTGAAGCATTAACAAGGAAATGAAATTAATCGTGGTTTACGTCAAGAATTTAAATATAAATTATTCAAAGAATTTATCTAAATGAGAAATTAGATCACATTATTGTCAAGGAAACAAAATTTCACTTATAAATTTTGTTTTATAAGTTCAAGGAATTCTAAATCTATTCCACTGTTTATTCGTCTTCTATTTATTTTATATTTATTAATGTAGAAGCTAATTTCAAACTTAATTTTGAAACTAACTTTCCACATTGTGTTATTTTACAGTACAAAATGTACCTCCTCCCTCGTCGCCCAGTATGTATCCCCATCCTCCGCAACCATGAGTCTTCCCGTCCGGATTGATCAGCAAAGCATTGCTGCCGGTTCCGGCGATCAACACAATCCCACCGGATTCCAAGCCAGTCCTAAGGCTACCAAGAGTATCTGAGCCAACCACGTAGTCCTTGGCAGACTGTGGATATTTTTCCAATAAAGTTTCCGCGAGTTGACGATTACTGGCTTCCTCCTCGCAACCGCTTAAAGTAAGTCCCTGTTGATGAAAGAAATCCTTGAATGAAAATTTACTCTTTCGAAAATCACAGTTGATTCCATTTAATTAAAGATTCGAAATTTGAAACTAGATCGTTTGTTTCAAATTCGCCTCATTAATGTGACACTTAGATAATGAAAATACCCGATTTTTACTCACTACGCAATCTAAAGGAACGCTTTCCGGTATATCTAGTGCTTGTTTACCCTTCTCGATCATCGCGCTGAGCCTGGCAGCTGTCTCGTCTATTCCGATTGTCTAGAATTATATCAAATCTCTACACTCTTTTGTGATAATTTTACTCCAGCGAGCAAAATGACATTTCTGTAATTATTCGAATCGTTTATTCTGAAAGTGCTGCAGACTTGGTTTTAAAAATCCCATTGAAATCGTATGTCGATTTCCCCATCCCCGACTCGCACAGCACTTTAAAGATAAGCCATTCGTATAATGTCTTTTTTAATCACCCAATGATTAGTTTGCGGTCCTTTAACTTCTGTTAGCCTCGCACCTTTTCCGTCGAGTATTACGAGCGTGGAATATGTGGCGCCTCTGAAAGTTAATTAATTGATAATTAAATTTGTGTTACAAGCGAAAAATTGAATGATTACGCGAACTGAATATCTCTCGTTGAATATCATCTAAATTTATCTCTTTTTTTTTAATCATTCTGCATGTACGGTGCGACAATTACATAATCAGTTATATTTTCTCTTATTTAGTGACTCGAATGTTTTTCTAACAAACAAAGATACATATCGATGTATCACTCAACAAGAGATATGTATGACCTGTCATAGTTAAGCGGATTAATGAAATTGATTGCTGTTATCAGTGCCTGAGATATCCTGCCTCTCTTTCTTTCTCTCTTATATAAGAACTATAGAAATCAATCGATATCCTGAATCGAAGAATTATTATAAGTTTTATATATAATAGCAAGATGATAAATTAAAATGTCCATATCTGTAGAAAAAAAGAGGAAGAGAAAAAAAAATAATATCAGATATTTGTTTTCGTTATTAAAACCACTTCCGATTCAAAAATATTATCGCGCAATGAGATATGGAATGTGCGTTTTAATTTGAATCGATATATAACTTCGCTCCTTTTTTACGGTTTGCGAACCATTAAATGTAATGAATCGCAAAACATTTGTTCTTCGTTTCCTATTTAAAAAAATAACCCGACGATTTTTACAATTATTCGCAGCATTCGCGCAATAATAATTTTGCGAATTACAGCACTGACATGAGACAATGCGTTTCTCTTTCGATCGTCTTTGATGGAGGCAAAAATAGGTGCTTTGAACATGCGTAAGCGCGCCACGATAAGATAAATATTACAATAAAGAAGAGAGCAAACGCTACGAATCGCGAAATAAGCGAAGGAAATATTCAAGATGCACGCATTAGGAATGATCGATCAGTAACGGTCGTGATTAAGAGCGGTTATCGAGCATACATTATTTGGATTTCGACAGATAAAATCGTAGGCTGAACGAAAGTTATATAATTCACAATTATTAAGATTGTTGTTATCTTCCCGCGGGTTTCCCGGGTTGATTTTTAAATGGGAAAAGAAATGATAGAGTACGACATTAGAATTCCAATATCTCATGTTTCTTCATAAATAATCTTTTTCCGTCGTGCTTGCTAAAGCTCGTGAAATACCTGATACATTGTATATTTATTATTTTGTTTATGTATATAACAAATAGACGAATTTTAATCGTCTTGAAAAGACATTTATTTAACAGAATTTTGCTTTGTTACAGGAGTACGAAAGATTTAATTAATTGAATCAATTAGATACGATTGAGAGAAAGAGAAACTCACCCCTCTATACCACCGATCCTAATATCTTCGGAGTATTGCGGTTCGACCTGCACCTGCGTGAGCATCGTAGCTTCCTGCACCAGGTCCGTGGACTCCGTCATCTTCGCCTGCTCCCTCAGATCCCTGCGTAACTGATGCTCATCCACGATCTTCTTCTCCTGCTTCTTCCTCGCCTTTTTGCCCTTCTTCTTTTCTGCCATTTTTTAAAATCGCTCGTTCAGATTTCTGCGGCGAACTTCGAAGCTCGACGTGGACGTGTTACGAGGATTCGGCGGGATCTAGGTGTGACGGGATAGCACGAGATAACATGGGACAAAATGCGTTACACAGGATGACATTTATGATCACTGGAAAGTAATTAATGAATTAATCGAATAACGAGGGAACATGACACTCTAAATAGATGCATTAGAATGAATTAAAAATTTGATTTTAACATATGCAACTTTCTATACTTCTTGCTGGAAAGTTGGAATAATAGAAATAATTACCAATGTTTAATGTGTATCAAATCTAGTAAAATATATAAATCCTCAATTATAATTTCACAGTTTATAATAGTTATTATCGTTTCTGTTATCGATGTTGTAATTAAGTTTAATTATATTGGATTGATAAAACCTCGTTATTCGAACGGAACGCCACACTTGTTGCAGTAGATCAGATAGTCCTTTTCTGATTTAATGATTATATGATTGCTGTATTTTTTATTTAACAAAAATTTCCGCCGTACAAGAACGAGAAAGGCACAGAAGCTGAAACGACATAATCGTTAGCGCACATATGCATAATCCTCACGTTAAAATGTAGCAATTTCCCACATAAACAATTGTAAAAAGATTTGCTCGCGTGGCAGGCGTTTGCGTTGCTACGGCACACATACCTAGCGTTGGACGACTTAGCACGTATTCACTTTATGCTAAAAGCAGTTTATCTCGACGGTGTATAGAATCATATCGGGAGATAATGATACATGCATAGTCATTCGAGAACAGATTGTTGAAAGTTGAAATAGCAAAGGCACAATGCGATCCGCGCAGATATACCACCGCCTCCAGGCGAGAGAGAGGGAGCGTGCCCCACGCTTCCAACACTTCGAGAGCGATATTTATTTGTTGGTCCCTTACGGTCTTGTGCTCCGCAATTACGAACGGCGTTGATTATGCACTGCATGCTATTGGACGACGGGTCTAAGCGCGAATTGCGGACTTGCCGTTATTAAATTGGTCGTTTCTGCTTTTGTCTCTCTCTCTCTCTCTCTTTCGCGCGGAAACTGCAAATGCCTGGCGTCCTGAGGAAACGCAAGCGCACTTCCCTTCGCAAGTGGCAATTAATTCCAAAGCTGATAAACTAATGAAATAAAAGTTATTATGAAATAAAAGTCACAAAATCATTAACAATAAGAATATATATATATAATATATAAAGTGTTGTAATTTAAAAGATATGGGAAATGATTCTTTGAATTGTTATTTTGATGTAATTCTTCTTAGAAAGGGCTGCTTATAAGAAAGGAATTGGGTATGAATTAGGAGAGATATACTAATTATATAAAGCGATGATCAATTGGCTAATTCCAAAGTTGGCGAACTAAAGGATTAAACACAGTCATTACAATAAGAAAAAGAAATTAGTAAAAAGTTATGCAGAAAATAGCTAATTTAAGAATGAGAAACAATCCTAATTGTAAGTTTTTTCTTACTTTAATGTAATATGTATAATGTTTGTAGGAAAAAAGGTAATCAAGCATCAAGCACGAGTTGAGGAAGATGCATTAATATAATTTGAGATGGTTTTCTTTCAATTTCAAGTGAAAGAGAGAATTGCAAATCTAAAAGCCGGTTGGATCGGGCGAAAGGCATTTAAAATCCTCGCTCGAGAAAAATATCGCGTCCTTGAAACCGGTTCGATAAACCAGAATCGCCGAAAGACGCTTCCTCCGATTTTCCCGGAGTTCGGCGTACTCTGAAACTTACTACGAGACTCCCGCTCTCCTTTGGCGCCAGGAACCGGAGCTGCAGGCTGAGAGTGAAAGAGAGAGCGCGCGTTCAGTGCCTGACGTGCGTGCCAGCGGTGAGAAACATCTTTTTCTCTTCACCGCGAGTCTTCCAAAAATTACAAAAAATTCCACGAGAAACTTTCGGTGTTTCAGAACGGAGTGCGCGAATCCAGTTGGGAATCCCGTGGCGGCGCGAATGATAGCTGCCGATCGTTTTTCCCTGCCGAAGAAACGAAACACGATCGACCGCACCGCACGACGCTGTCCCCCGTCACTGCCGGCTGCCGTCGTCGCTCCGCTCCAATCCGCTCACGAATCCTACCCCACCGCGTGTCCCACATGTCGCGTTCGCGGGCGCATGTCTTCTACGAGATGTCATCGAACCGAAGGTCAGGATCGGGTGATTCCGGATCATCGATCAGATAGAGTATATATCAATAATTTTGTAAGAACAAAGTATATATAAAGAACTTTTAACATTTTTTTTTTGTTAATTGCGACTAATTATCAAAAATAATTTCCGAGCGTTACTTTAATGAAATTTAATTTGCACGGTTCTAAAAATTTACAGTATTTCTTATCAAATCGTCATATCTATGATACAATCTATCGTTCGACTTTCTTGAAATAAATAATTTTTATCTTCTATTCTGATACTGATTACTATCTAAGAATAACATGTAATATTTAGGCATATTTTTATTAATATATATACACACACGTTATACTGTTAATATATTCTATCTAATCCCTCCACTTCTTTCTTCTCGTCAATGTTCCCGTTTATATTTATGGAGTTAATCCGCAGCATCGTGTGCTGTGTTCTGTAGACTGAAAGATAAAACGTATTAATATGAATGAATCGAGAAGCGAAAGGAGAATATATCGTCTCTTCTTCCTATTTTAGTATCTTACAGTTTATACGGCGATACTGTTTCCTCGGCCGGAACCTGAAGCGAGTTTTCGTGTGGGACAGAGTCTTCTCTATAACCGTCGCGTCGATCGAGACCAATTCTCTGTTCAGGATCGGCCTGCCTATGAGGGTGAAGTCTTTACTGCCGACCATCAATACTTTCTCCAGTTTCAGTGTATCGCCTATGTTCGGCGGCCAGAATCCCTCGATAATTATAATGTCGTATTGCGTCACCTTAAACTGTTTCCCGCATACTTGCACGATCGCGAACATACGGCCCACCTTGTCCGTTGCGATCTGATTGTTGATCTCATTTGTCACGTCTGTGAAGAAGATGCTATCTGTTAGAACTGAACTACAAAGATTGAATCGCGTTCGTACAGACTTATGCAAAATAAGTTATGTTAACAACCGGTGCATATTTTCTCCCTTTCTTCGTCCCACTCCTGTACTTCCGTTTGGTAATCCGGAATTGGCTTCATCCATGGTGGTTTAGTCACCCGATACTCCGCTATTGGCGTCTCCCACAATCTCAATGCTGAAACAAGATTATTTCTCAATAACTTTCTTATGCCACGTAAAGTCTTGCCGGACTTAGTTACCAAAATTTGTGTATAAATTGCTTGATAAAATTATGTTCATACGTTTATCATAAAATTGTAATACAATAAAATGTAATTCTCCACATCTCTTTCTTGTACCGTGTAAAATCTTGCTGGATGATTTTATATACTTTGTCACAGAGAATTCGTGTATAATTTACTTGATATAAAATTACATTAATAGATTTATCGTAAAGTTCTAATGTAACGAAACGTCGATATTATTCTATCAATCTTTAAAATTAAAATTCTTGAAAAAGTTGTGCAACGGAGAGGAAGGTTATGTTTGCATTCGAAGGAGAGGTTAGGTTTCTGCCCCGCGCAGTTTCCGCGAGATTATAATTCGTAATTACATACCGGGATAATATTGCTTGCAAATTGCGGCCGGTGCCAGTGCTCTTCTCAGACAATTACTCGCCGCGTAATTAAAGAGTCTTGTAAAACCGAATAGAGTGGCCATCGCCGCGACACGCTGCCGGCTGCGGTAGAGCGGTAGGCGGTAGCGGACGCTGTGGATGGCTGTGGACGTGGACGTGGATGCGAATAAAACAAATGTCAGGAAATCAGCTGTTTACAGTTTACAGTTACAGGTAACTTGTTTCCCCGGCAAAAAATTAACGAATGAAAACGATCCCGTAATCGTAATCGTAATCGACGTTTTTTATTCGCGCGACACTAATGGAATCCTTGAAGGGTCGTTTACGTAAAATTTGTCGTCTCTGATAATTCTGATATCTGCCTTTTATGTTAAACAACGCGATTAATGTTTCCATTTACGTTATAAAATAATATATATGTTTCATGTATTTTGTCACAGAATTTGCGCATAAAATTTCATTAAATATACATTAATAAAGTTTATCGTAAAATATAATTTTAATATAATGAATCGTCGATATTATTATTGGTATAAATACAGAAGAACTTCCGTACATCCGGTGCATCATGCATCCACGTGCGTCGCACATGACCGACGCTACCTATACAGGGTGTCGCGAAAATAATGTATGTCTCTTGGTCGATCTGTATTCGACACTTCCCTATGTTGAGAAAGGTGATTAAATTTGCTCGTTTATTTATTAAGCTTAATTAACGGTGTCCATCGAGTTGTGACGTAAAGAATTCCGACAATGGGAACGTTATGCGATACATCACGCGACATACCATTCTGCGTTCACACAGGACCTGCGATGATTCGGGAGAGATGTTTTTTTTTCGGCAATCGAAAAGAGATAAGGAACGTTATCTGTTACTCGAATAAACGACTTATACTTTGGATATAAATGTTATAAACAGGTGTCCGATATTTGAAGAATCTTTAAACGTCGCCGCTTCTCGAATCTGCACGTAAACGTGAGCAGGAAATGCATGATATTAACATAAAGCACATTATCAGAAAAATTTGCAAAACGACAAACGAGTAATAATATGTATTTACGATATAATGCAATGTATAAATATATTTAAATACTTATGGCACTAAATTACAGTATAAAAAAATATATTTTTGCTTATTCTTTTCTCAACATAAAAGATCTCGTCGTGAATACGCAATAATTATAAGCTTAGCTTATAATAAGCGATGTTATAGTGAAGCTTTTACAGAAACGTATTTCTAACAAAACGATATATCTACATCTAATTTCGCGAAACGGTATCTATCACATTGCGTATTAGAGAGACGCATCAAAGTAGTATCTTGAGAAAGAATAAGAACATCACATATTACATATCAAAGCAATAATATTGCTGTAGAATAGCTATCTATAAAACACATATAGAAATTTTTTGTTCATTGATGGTTCGTTAAACACGTTGATTTCTCGGGCGCCATACAACGAGACTACCGCCTGCTATCGCGAGAGTGTCATTCAGGTAGTCCATCTGCAACATAAAAACACGAACAATTACATACAATATCTAACAAAGTTCACGATATTGCAAGATAAGACTTGGAAGAATGTCAGTCTTAAGGAGGACTTCACCAACATTCGGAAGATAAAGATAAAACTTGATTTCCTAATTTAAATGTTATAAGTAAAAATTTAATTTTCAACGTTCGAACTGTGTCTTGCACTTTTTCAACTGTATTTCTCATCTTATACGTAGACACTTTTTTCTTCAAAGTCAATGTTACGATATTTTCGCCAAATCTTACGCGTGCGATACTCACGCTGTCGATAGCTCCGATCTTTGGACATAAAGTAGCGATGTGCTTTGGCGGATCTGTAGGGCTCGAAATTCTGACGGTCCCGTCGTAGGAACTCGTTATCAGGCATCCGTGCGTCAGACGCACCCCCGTTAGAGTTTCCGTATGCTCAGTGGAATAAGATTTTACTAGCTCAAAATCGTTTGTTAGATCTAGCATGTGCAACTTCTTGGTGTTCCCAACGCAAACCCAATCTCGTCGCATACTCATGCACGTGGGATACTCGCCTCTTTCACCTGGAATCTAAAAATCACACCTTAGACATCGTAATCGGGTCTCGTTTCTCCACGTTAAAAAGTACGGGATGAAATTACTGTGATAGACTTCACGATCCGATCAGCTCTCTGATCCCAAACGGACACCGTCACCGTCTCGTCCTCGCTGGCGGACAAGATGTATTTCGTGTTCATGGTTAGCTTATCCACGTATCTACTGTACGACGGCCTGTACTGCCTGATCGGCTTATTGCTCGATCTTGAATCGAACACGTTTATTGTCCCGTGGTTTGAGCCAGTTGCAAAGAGGGCCTGCTCCGGACACGAAGACACGCACATCAGCGAATCCCTTATTCTGTTGCTCTGCTCTCTGTGAAGACAGAACCACATTTTTTGAATTTTACTTTTTCATTAATTATGCTATATTATTCTATATTTTTGCCATTTTGTGGCAAACCTCATCTTGACAGCTTAGCGCATATTTTAGAAAATAACAAAAAAAAAACGGAATCTTTGTTAGTCCCGCACTTGTTGAATTTAGAGTTTTCCTAACTTTACTGTATTTGACTGTAATTGTGCTAATTTCTGCCGCAAATACCAAAACAATATTTTAAATTATAATAAAGGAAATTAAAAAATGTAAAATTTTATAATAATTTTATAATAGTGCCGAGCTAACAAAATTTTATATGTTTTAGTTTTCTTGAACACGCGCGATTCAACGTATCGTTCTCGTATTTGCGGCGAAAATTAGGACAATTGTAGTTCAATACAGTACAGCTAAAAGAAAACTCGAAATTCAACAAGAGCGGGGTTACCTTCACAGAGATCACGCTCCTGGAATAGGCTGATAAAAAAATATGCATGAAGTGGTAAATATAAAGTGAATACCTACGACTTGACGAGTGAACTTCAGAAACGCATTTCCGAATCATCTGTCTCGTCAAGCGAAACACAAAACGCGGTATCTGCATTCGAATAATTTGGAGGAAAACGTTTATTTCTCCCACAAACAGGAATTATCCTCCTCGCTGGGTTTTCTTATCGCGAAGCGGCCGAAAGGAAGAGTTTTGTTACCACGTACATCTCGTAAGTTCTGTCATGGACGAGACCGGTGTTGGTGAGCACCCACGATTTGATTATATTATTGTAACTGCAGACGTAGACTGTGTGGTCTATCGCCATCAGACAGTCACTTGGTACATTGTCGAGATAGTCCCGGACTTCGTAAAAAGGTTCCTCGCTATAAGAAAGTTTTTTGTAAAGTAAGATGCGATCTTTCTGACAGACTAAATAAGTGATTCCATCCTGAAAACGAGAATCATTATATATATCGGTTTCCAAGGAGAAATATGTCCACTTGACATAATACACTTACTTACTACGTGCATCAACAACACAGCTTTTACATGGGAATTCATCAGCATCAATTTCTCCATAGAGTCCGACTGTTTCCACAGCGCTGTTTGTTTCTCGATCGCAGCGCATGACAACTTCCAAAACAGTTTGTTGGGCCTCGCTGTAAGGACGCATGACTTTTTATGTCAAAGAAATATGAAAACTTATTCGTACCGTAATACTGACAATGAGTACAAAAAAAAGTTCATGTACATACAACCTGAATTAAGTACAAATAAGCTACAAGAGGGTTCTAGATCGAGAGCTCTATTCAAGTTCTTACTACCAGATTATTACAATACTGACAACATTGTGACTCTGATTATGGCACGGTACGGATATATAGTGGAGAAGATGTTCGGTTAAATTTGCTATACATTTTTACAATTTTTACATATTTACATTTTTATTTCTTTGACGCACTAAACATCTTGACGTTTGCACGATGTAGTTAGGATACAACGTTTGGCGACGCATGATGTTTAATGTGTGTTGCGTATTAAATTATAATATCTCACTTGAAAAGGACCAGATTATGGTTGAAACGTTGTGAGTTATAATAAATAAGAATTGGCCGGTTGAGTCGCTTAATTTTTTATTTGATTTTTATTTATTTACTGGCGAAGAAAAAGTTATTATCATTGTTTTTATTTATTTAACAAAAAGGATTAGTTGTGGCGTAAGATGCTATCAATTTGAGCTAACCAGGACAAAAGAGCGAGTCGGTAGCATTCGGCCATAAGATGTGATTAATTCGCACTTTCCACTCCGCATCGTTTAAAACTCTGTAGAATTTGTTGCACACTAAGCTCAAACTGTGTAACGTCGACGCATCCAGGAAGGAACATATATGCAGGAATACCTGAAATGCAGCACAATAAAATAATTAAACGCACAATCAAACAAACGTTCCGGAAGAGATGGGGACAGAACGAAAGAGAGAGAGTTGACCGTCGCTAGTTCAACACGTACTTTACTTCATCGACAAGCGACAAGCGATTACTGTATACACTTACTGCGGAACCATTTCGGAATGGATTTCGATCGGAATTGTTTAGTTCCTTTCTAGATTTCTATTGTATTTATTAGAGAAAATGGAATAATTCTGATCGGAATCCATTCTGAAGAGCTTAATGCGTGTGACGAACGAAATAACAGCTACGATTAAGAAAAAAAATTTCGCGCACGTGTACATAAAATACGACCAAATCGACGTTTTCTTCTTCTTATACAAACCTCCACCGGGAGATGCAACAATGACAATTGTGCATATTCCTCGTCGTCGTGGGCGCAGCTTGCATTCTCGTCATCCATTCTTTCTCGCACCGTGCGAATCTGATTATTTTCACTCGATCTGTTCGAAACTCACCCGGTGGTTCAACGAAGGCGACTGAGGACTAAGGGTAAGGGTTAAGCGAAGCGGGGAGCACACACTTCTGCACAATGCATAATGCGTAAGCATAAGAAAATTGATTGGTCCATGCACACATGTGCATAAGGAAATAGACCAATCAGTTTTCTTATGCTTACGTATTATGCGCTATGCAAAAGTATGTGTTCCACGCTTAAGGGTAGTGTAAATTTAAACACGGAACTACGGAAGAACCGCTGCTTTCGGTGCATCATGGCTACGGTCAACGTGACGCTACAAATGCTTTGGAGCGTTTTTCTTCTCTTTCTTTCTTCATTGAAACAAAAGAGAAGAAGAATGCTTCGAAGCATTTGTAGCGTCACGTTGACCGTAGTCCATATCATCCACCGCATCCACGATCCACGTCCATCGCACATGAGCGACGCCACATATACAGGGTGTCGCGAAAGTAGTGTACGTATCTCGATACTCTCACGATCTGTATTCGACTCTCTCGAACAACGCGATTAATGTTTCCATTTACGTTATAAAATAATATATTTCGTTATATAATATATTTCAATAATCAAATAATATATTTCGTTATATAATATATTTCATGTATTTTTTGTCACAGAATTTGCGTATAAAATTCCATTAATTATACATTAATAAAGTTTATCGTAAAATTTTAATATAATGAAACGTCGATATTATTATCAATGTTTAAAAATAAAATTCTTGAAAACATTGTGTAATTAAAAAGGAGGTAGTCACGATGGATTTAATCGTGACTTAATAAATAAATAAATTAATAAACAAATTAATTAATAAAATTAATCGTGGTTCGCCTCTCGGGCGTTTTCTCGTTTTCGCGCGTCGAGCCGTGCGTTTCCGGTCGCGCAACGCGCGGCGGCCCGTCAGTTTCCGGCCGTGGCGACAGTCAGCAGTCGGACAGTGTGCGGGATTGTGCTGCGGAGTAGTGCAGAGAGCGCGTGGAAATGTACGCGTAACGCGACGGTCGCTTGTTATGTTTGACCGTCCCACCGCGGGTGATCACGGTGATAGTGCGCCGCGTCGTCGTCGTCGCGTCTCCGACGTCCTCCCCGTCGCAGCTGAAACCTTCGCGGCAACCGGATCCCGCGGGTCCCACGCTCTCCCCGTCCTCACCCTCGTCTCCCTGCTGTTGCCCTCGGCGCCCAACACGGTTCGGTGACACGGCGTCGTCGAAGCGACCCTGCGCGCGGCCCGCAGCAGAAGCATGCAGTTCTACAAGGACAGGCTGCTGTCGCCGGGCCAGCTGAAGCGGCTGAGCGAGCACAAGTACAGCTGCACGAGCAGCAGCCTCCTCGACGGCCTCCTGCAGCCATGGTGGGACTGGCTGGTCAGCAAAGTGCCGCTCTGGCTCGCGCCCAATCTCATCACCGTCGTCGGCCTGATCATCAACATCGTCACCACCCTGATCCTCATCTATCACAGCCCGGACGCGAGGATCGAGGTAGGCCCGACCTTCAAGGGCTTCTAACTCACCTAACGCCTAACCTGTCCCCTGTCGCTTCCCCGACGATCGACAGGAGGGAGAGTCCACCGCGTTCTTCCTGGCCTTTCCTGACCATCGCCGTATCTTCGCCGTGACGCATACTTTTCTTATCGCCTGCTGTGTTTATAGAAAGAAAATGACTTCTCCTCCCCGGTTATTGTATCGTACGTTGAACGCTGCGCGTGTATTTAGAAAGTCTGTCTGCTGTGACAGTTCCGTTGACGTTTAAAGTATTTCACATAGCTCTACATTATCTAAATTTTTTAGTAAATGAAAGAGATACGCGCGAGGTCTTTCGATTAGTTAGAGATGAAAAAAACCCTTGAATTGAGAATTTGCTAACGTTGATGTTAATTACACACAAATATGAAGTCACGAATCAGAAGATATAGCTCCTATAATTGTTTGAAACAATTTTGTATTACTTTCTGCTTTTGTATGATTTTAATTTTACCGGAACAGAATAATGTCTTGTATTGTCAGGCTGCATTTGAAACTAGTTTGATCAGTTTGTTGATGAGTTCCGCGCGAAAAATAAATAAGGATGAAAGATGGTATCGCAAATCATCCAGGAGTCAATTTTCTGATTGAACCCAGATCGAAGAAGTGGTGTCACCAGTATGCAAATCAGAATATATAATGAGTCATCAATTATTGGAGCGGCAAAGTGTTTTGCTCTTACATAACCCCACTATTATTATTATAAAACTGAATGCCATCTGTGCAACTGCATTCAATTATATCTTAGCTTTAGAACATTTGAGCGAGTGTATCTTTACCAAGTAAAGTAGAATGTATCTTAAAATCGGCTAACGTCGCTTTATATTTTTTTTTTCAGCCACCTAGATGGGCATGTTTTTTATGTGCACTTGGTCTGTTTATATATCAGAGTTTAGATGCTATCGACGGTAAACAGGCCAGAAGAACTGGCACGTCTACGCCGTTGGGCGAGTTGTTTGATCATGGATGCGATTCGATATCGACAGGTATACATAAATGTTGCACCGTTACTTATCTTGTCCTTTAGAAACTATTTTTTAACTAGTGATATTTTCCTATTTTTAGTGTTTGTAGCTTTGTCAGCGTGTGTAGCTGTACAATTAGGATTCTACCCAATGTGGATGTTTTTCCAGTGTTTCTGCGCCATGACGCTTTTCTACTGCGCTCATTGGCAGACCTATGTGTCAGGTATTTTCAATTTCATATGTAAATGAAGCAATGTAGCGAGCAGAATTTCATTTAATTTTATTCATCTAAAACTTAATAGGTTCCTTGAGATTTGGTAAAGTGGATGTAACGGAAGCACAGTTTACAATCATAGCTATTCATCTGATTTCTGCGATCTTTGGTCCACAAATCTGGATGATGGAGGTTGTATCATTTTTAATTATGCTCTCTGTATTATACACTGCAAGAATATCTTGTGTAGCAGTTGATAGAACACATTTTATATCATTTTTTGGCTTTCCGCACGGCTATAATTTGACAAACGGGAAATACCATATTTTGTTTTGCTTTTTTTTTTTTTAAAGCATGATCACAAAATTATTCTAAATCGTTGTCAATGCAAGGTATTCGTTTAACTATACACACGCTATTATAGCTGCTTATAGTACACAAGGCGATTCAATTTTTACGCAAATGGCTTATATAGCAATATTTTCGTCAAAGATAAAATTGAATAGCTTGATACTCTAATCTGTATTCTAAGAAATGCAACTTATAGTACAAGCAAAATTATAGAATTTTTGCTCATGTTACTATTAGTTTCACATTCTGTGGTAAGTAACTTTTTGATAAGTAGGCACACATACATTTATGTCATTATAGAATCCATATAAAAAAAAGCAGTAGGTTTCATTTACATCAATAACATAATTCTCTCAAAGTCATTTTTATCTGCTGAGTATGTAAAGTATACAACATTATTTTATTAACCCCATGTTATAGTCTTCTTTACAATTAGATACATAAAATCCTCAGTGACCCAGGGGATTGAATATCTCATTATGTTTTGAATGCTCAATTTTTTATAATTTTTACCTTACGTAATATTTTTTACATCCATACATATACAATGGTCAACACATATATTATTAAAACATTACAACTTCTTACACTTTGCCCTGCAAATTACCCGAAAGATTTTTGCCTTGAAAGATTTTACCTTGGCGTCCATGACACATGCTAAAATTAATGAAACAATATTATATATAACGTCATTTAATAAAGGTATTTTTTGCAGATACCATTCTTAGATGGTTTTATGTTTAAGTATTTGTTAGGAGTTATGACAATGGTGTGTGCACTGGCAAATTTGTATTCCATATTTTCGGTGATTTTCACCGGAGGAGTGGGCAAGAATGGTTCCACTGTGGCTGTAAGTCTGTTAACTAGAATCTTTTATTGAACATGCAGAAATGGGAGCAGCATGGCATGAGGAGCGGCGCTGAGATTACTTCTTTACTGCAAAATATTTACTGAGTTTTAACACGCATTTTTACTTTTGTATTCCCTACTAAATTATGCCCCCCCCTTTACACTCTTGTTTTCGACAACCCTACATCCTGCGATTCTCATAATGAATTGTATGTGCCATTATATGACTATAATTGTACTTGTTCCATATGTAAATTCGTATTTTTCAAACTTTCATCAAGTCATTAGTGTTTCAGTATATTGTAAAATCACTGAGTTGCAAAAACTTATTTTTCGATACAAATGTGGTCTTTTCCAATGTAAGAATTAGACATAATCTTATGTGTGTCTTGTGATGTTATATTTGTGACGAAAAATCATATGACTGCATCAGCTTCTTCATAAATACATAATAATGCTCTTTTGAAACAATTTCAAATCAGAAAATTTTTTTGAATTGATGGTTTAAGAATTTTAACAGTCTAAATTACGTATCAATTTTTGTGTTACGGTTGTGCTATTTAATGAGTGAAGGGTAGATTATACGACTAATACATATGTTATATTTGTACAAGATGAATAATTTATTTATAAAAGTAAAATATATTGTCGCTATTATTAATTAATTTTTTATAACTCTGTACATAAAAGTATCTAAACGTAGATGATCTTGATTTCCTCAATAATTTTTAACAAACGTATATTACAGTTTTTTTTTACACATACTATATGCTTCTGAAGAAAATATAATAAGTCTATTTGTGTTTATAGAGATAAAACACAGCTTGCCAAATTTTTGCACATTAGGTATAACAAAAAACTGGCTTTCCTTCACGTTGCAAATTATGACATATTGAATCATAATGTCATAAAAGGCGAGGTAACTTTAACATTCGACTTATCGTACTCAAATCAGCCGCTCCCTTGCCTTATAATCGTGCAGTTTTATCACAAAAAAAGCAGAAAAACTGTACCGCATGTTTATACATGCAGTAAATACGACCACAGATAGAACAGTCCATCCAGTATTCTTGTGGCAACCGAGAGATAAAATTATAACAGTTTGTACACAAACATTTAGGCATACACGCACACAAGAACAATCGTAGCGAGAGCAATTCTCATAACGAACGAAGATCTTGTCGCTTTGTTTAGATCCCCGTTCTCGGTGTAGGCACGTTGAATAACTACATAGCAATGGTCTTTTACGCAGGCTACGTTCACGTGTTCCTTGAATTCTGTAAAGTCTTTGAATCCGGTGGGATTGGAAAAAACGGTTCCACAATTGCAGTAAGTCTCTTAAAGAAATGGCGTTCTCCTAGAGCAACATATATTTTGCCATTCTGTACAGTAGAAATGTTGTCTGTTTGGTACATTTCTTTATATCTTTTTTTTTGCTTGCTATCTTCTCTATCGATCTCTTCTACTGGGAAACGTTCGTCGGGTGCTCGATTGGATTACTAAACATCTATTTATGGCCATCTGTATATCTGTATATTAAACCATCAGAGTGATATATCTCGATATTTCGCACAATTTACAATTTAACTACGCTTCTTTTGTCTAATATAAAATCGCGCTTAATATAACAAGCTCTTCAAATGATCTTTTTGCTCGAGAAATTCTTCTATTAGCATACTTCCCTATTATTACAAGAATTAAATAATTGTAACTTGAATTAAAAAATGCTTGATTGTCGATTAAAAAAGAAGATAAGTTAATAATTTTTACTCACATACGCGAGATTTTATAATGCCATATATATTTAATTATACAATATATGAAGTTTTATTTACTGTGCAGTTTTTACATCTCGATTTCAATAAACAGGTACAAGATATCCGTTTAACTTAGAAGAATATTCGCGCACTTACTGAAATTTGCTGTATCCAGTTTATTTTTTTGTGGAGTATGCCTGCAAGAAAAATAGTGTGTGTGTGTTAATTTATATGTAATACAAGAAGAAATCAACACATTTATATGTATGACCGAATGCTGCACAGTGATAGCTTTAATTTCCTCAAGTCTCTCTTTTTTTAGCTCAGATTCGGATCTCGTGTCACCACACGTTGTTTCTTGCACTTATTTGATCACATGTTCTTGGTATTATAGCAATAAACTCTTTATCCCGCACCTTTATAATTTCAGATAATTTTATTCTTCCTCGAATTTTTTTTTTTTTTTTTTTTTATTGCGAATGGATCTAAACGACTAGCTCGCATAGCACGTTGCTCAAGATAAAGGAAGGAGTCTTAAAATTCCATGTGTAAATTTCCGTGCAGATACAACAAATAAAATTTCTGGATATAACAAAAAGAAAACGTGAAAGACTTGTTACAATACGAGTACGAACAGCAGCCAGAATTTATGGAAATAAATATAAATAATACAAATTATTCAGCTTTAAATGCGTATCAAGTAATAGAGCATTTTACCATGTAATATGTAACATTGTATATATCTGTCCTGTTGGTTTTGTAGCATTATGAATTGTGATTAACACGGCGTTGAAATATAATACGAAATTGTTTCAAAAGTAAAAAAAAAAAAAAAAAACAGCAGATGTATTTCCCGATTTGTGACTTCACTCATGTGATTAACATGTCAGGAATACGGAGTGTTGGAAAGTCCTCGACACGCGAGGGTATATAGCCTCCGATGACTAATCAAAAGATCTTTCGTGTCGCTCTTATACAGTTGCCATACACTGGCACAGAGGTGAAGGTGTTTCCGTTATGGGCTGCTGTGGGCGTCGCTATTTTACTTGCACAAAGCAGCATATCCGTCATTCTCGCCGGTGGTGTCGGAAAAAATGGCTCCACCGTCGCAGTAAGTCAGCTGAAGAAAAAAAAAAGTAGTGGAATCAATTGTGTAGTGCACAATATTTTGTTTGGTTCTTTGTTTTCAGTTTACGATTTAGGCCCATGCTTTTTGAACGTCGAGCGTTTTAGGTGTAAAAAGGGTTTGCTTGGAAAATATTATAGCGAAATATTAATAATTTCGTTACTGGATACACAAAAAGTTGTGCGATCTGAAAATAATTAGTAGTAATAATAAAATAACAGTAGATTTTTGTTCCTTTAAATGCAACGGTGGGCCTAGATCTAACGGTGTCGTTTAAATTATTCATCACTGTTACTGTTTTCACTTATGTTAATATTTGTTATATGCCACATACTCTTTCCCCACAGAGAAATCCACGTACATCCCTTCACCTCTCGCTTACTCCTTTATATTTTGCAGTTATAGAATAAGTTCTCTTCGATTTTATTTTCAATTCTCGCACGGAGCCGAATTCTAGTATGCACGTTACGAGGCTGTAGCAAAGTAGAGAAGCGTGTAAATTAACAGTTTAATAAAAAATATAATGCTATGTACCGCTTATATGTTACTACTGACAATCTCGTACTGATCCCATGATGTTTTGAGTTGATTGCAATAGATTTATTTTACCTGTACATACATTATAGGTATAGAATGTAATTGCATGCGCTAGACAGAGTAAATATTTTGATAATAATTAAAATTACGTTCCTTGATGACTTTACTTATGATGATTTACTTCATGAATTTAATGTATTTGGGATAATTTATCTACTGCATTGTAACTCGAAGAAATACAACAATCAAACTTTATAATTTCTCTCTCTACATATATTAAATATAGACTTTGCTTAAAACTTATCGCATTTTTCTTTCTTCACATTTGCAACGTCTTTCGCACTAGAACGCACATGTAGTAGTGATATTTGTTTTATAATTGTATATCAATTGTAAAACACTAATGTGATTCTATATTTTTGAAGAAATTCTACGAGTACAAAACAGATTTATACATATGTCTCTACTGTCTCTAGTTTCTGATATATTTTTACGTCGATTGACAAATATCGGACATTTAATTAACATATAAAAAGATTTTAGCGTAACGTTTCTCAAATATATAGATAACGTCTTATTGGATTAAGCATTGGTCCCTGCATTTAATCTTTTCTTCTCTTTACAAATGTAAACCTTTGCACGTAGATTTACTATAAATATCCCCTTCAGAGTTTCTGCATAAGACCGATTTTATTTCAGGGAACGTCCGTTTTATCACCAATTATACCATTTAGCTTTGTGGTAGTACCGGCTTTTATAATATATAGAAAAAGCGCTGAACACGTCTACGAAAACCACCCAGCCCTGTATATACTTGCGTTTGGAATGGTGGCGGCCAAAGTTACGAATAGACTAGTGGTACGTATGTCAATTATACATCGCGATATATAATACCATCTTTTATTCGTAATAACACCAATTTCTTGTGATGTTGCTTTCCAGGTTGCTCATATGACTAAGAATGAGATGCAATACTTGGACAGTTCGCTAATCGGTCCAGCTATGCTGTTCCTCAATCAATATTTCAACTTCTTCATCAAAGAATACTACGTTCTTTGGCTGTGTTTCGTAAGTCGCGCACACGCTTGATCTCTGTTTACGACTCTGTAAACTTTCGGGATCACGATGAGTTACGAAACACATATGTTTAGATCTGGGTCGCTGTGGATCTCTTCCGGTATAATTCTCAAGTGTGTCTTGAAATATGCGATCACATGAAGATCAAGCTATTCAGGATACCATGCAACCACCATGCAGGCACTATCCAGGTCAACGCCGCCGAGAAAAATGGTACTAATAGGTCACAACGTAACAGATTGCATAAGAAACATCATTAGGATCGACTGGTGATAATGAATGCTCTGTATGATTCGTGTATAAAGAAATCATGATGTAACCAAGTTAAAACCGCTTGTCAAGTTTTATGTACATAGACGTTCGAACAGTACAGCTCATTTGTTATCACGTTTATAATTTATAAACTGTCGTTTCAGGCTAAGAACTTAGAAAATTAATAACAACTTGTGATCAAGGTCTTAGTTGAATTGATTAGCGATTATTACGAATTTTTAGTAAAACGTACCGTGCATCAAAACAAGAGCGTGCCGCCGGATTATGTAATAAAAACGGCACTTGCTTTATACTTATAAGAAAAAAGTGATAAATTATAATTCAGAATGTTCGAGAAGAGAGACATGATATATATTGTATAGATATATATAGCTATATCTATATATATAAACATATATATATATATATATATATAAATACATATTTATTTATGTGTATATATATACATATATACATTTGTTTAAGGATGTTAGAGTTTGACATCAACTGCATTAAATTTTTAAATATCGATTTCTGTTTTTGGTATGTCTGATTCTCGTATATCTCGTTCATTGTCGTAGGACGTTTGTTATGATATAATAGAAATTATACATCAAATGTGCAAGATCAAAAATCTCTTCATCGTTCGTAAAAAAGTAAGTTTTTCAAAAACTAATATCTAGAATTGCATTAAAAATACTAAATTAATGATTTATATCTTTCTAAAAAGATTTGTGATTTTTTTTTTTATAATTTAGTAACAATATACTGGTAATATTTTTGAACACAGATCTGAACATTTTTTTTTTTTTTTTTTTTTTTCAAAATTTCAATTATTAAATTAAATTTGGTATATATTTATATTCGTTAAAACTTGTAAAGTATATAAAAAATTTTGTTTTAAGTGATGTTTATCGAATATAACAAACTGTACGAATTTTATTTTGAAATGTATAGTTTTTGATCATACGGAATGCGTCGTGAACGTTTTCTATTTCTGCTTTTATGCGTATGCCCGGTAGGCCCGTGTATTTGATAAAAAAAAACCGTTTTTAATGAGGATACGATGAATTGAATTATATGAGACGTGTTAGAACATAAAGAGATGAAAGACAATTCCGGCTTTACATTAGATACATTTGTTTACTTCTACGTCAATAGATACGACAATAGATACATTTAAGACGAACACTTTATTAAGAAAACATCTTTACATAAGTATAATCTGTGAGAAACGTATTTTAAATATACTTCTACGTATTTTACATGAAACGTTACAAGCAAATGGCAGATACATGCTTAATTCTTATTTGTATATTATATTAACGTGTAATTTTGCTAGTTTAATATTTCCTCTTGATAAATAACGAGTAATTGATAATTTTTATAATAACTGAATTAGATGTAAAATGCAAAACCTTGATGTATGATAGAAACTGTTAATGTTCATAACTTTTCTGTTGTATTACATATTCCTGGAAGAAATGTTGCCCTAGAAAAATAATATATAACGAAAGGAATGTTTTCATATTGACAAGATTATCTTAACTGCGATAGCTTTTCTTTAAAATGTGATATATTAGAATTTCTTTCTCATTTTCTGTCGTATATTAACAACAATTCCGGATTTGAAGGGAATTGATTACGTTATTGCTATAAATAGATGAAGTAAAATGATTACTTTAATTAATTATGTTTTTTTGAAGACAGTGCTGTACATATAAATATTACACTAAATTAAATGTAATTTTATTGAACTGTACCATATTTCAAATTTCCTTTCAGAACTGTATAATATCTTCTGGATAAATAAGTTTATTATAAAGTGCCAATTTTTATTCTAATTTAACCAGTCTTGTCAGAGAAGCTTCTTTTGAGAAAATTAATTTGTTCAAGTCATTCAATAAAGTACATTCAATATTATTTTTGTGCTATCCGTTATCTTGTAATATCTAATAAAAATTGTATCATTTGTAAAAAGGAAAAAAATATTTATTGGACAAAAATGTACAGTAAGAAATTTTGTATATTGTGCATTTCATTGTCTCTTTAGAGAAAGACAGTTAATAATAATAAAAGAATTATTCAGAATATTACGCGGACGATAAATGCATGGTTATGCTTTAGTTTATTGTTATGCAAAATTCGCTTAAAATGTAACATGGGAAGGTAATATGATTGTCATTGTATGTGAAGGGAGGAGACGGGATCTGTTGAGATTAACATTAGTATTTAATATTTAATATTAATATATTAATTTAATATTAATATTAATATTAATATTCATATAGAATGAAAATGCATCGTTATATTCATAAACTTATTACGTATGCCAATATAATGTCGCTCGTATTTACGTGTATTTTATGCATGTTATGAATTGTGAAACTGTAGCTTTTTGCACGTTCGTCATCTGTGCATGTGTTAACTGGTCCCTTTATGCTTATATCTCAAGATAAGCTTTAATTTACCCATACATTTGTAGAATAAAATTGCAACAATTGATACATTTAAGTAGATTAATCTTTGCTCAGTAAGGAAGAAAGAAAAGCTGCTCAAAAACTCACATCAAAAGTTGACGTATTATAGATTAAATATTTTTGCAGTCTCTAGTTTTAGTCAATGTAAAATGAGCAATACTGATATTGCATGGATAACTAATCGTTATTTTAAGAAGCATCTTAAATGCAGTACAACTCAAATAGTAAAGTATGCCATGCTTATTAGATCGCATCGATCAAGAGACCAAGTTTTTTATCGAGAAAGATTTTAATAATATTTTAATGTTAGTAATACTTAAAAGTATTTTTTTTTAGTATTACAAAATATAAATTGCGAATTACCTTCCATGCGTAAGAGTGCACGAATGATTTTCGTGTTTTATTTACGTAGGATATATATCAGAATCAAATATCGATATAAATTGCGAATTCTTGGTGTAACAGTATACGAATGGTTTCCGTTTTCCATTTTTGTAGGATATCGTATATCAGAATTATTTTGCATGTTTTTCTGCCTGCTGCTTGGACTTTGCCTTTGTCCTTTTGCGGGAAAAATTTCAAATATGAAAAATTCCGATCACATTATATATTACTAGTAATTGAAAGGTATGATACATTTTTATGTTTTCTTTTTTTTTAGAGGGAGCGAACGTTTAATTAGTAGAGGAGATGAGACATGGACGATACATAATATTAATTAGCTTAGATATAATATTGCTAGAAGCTGAAGACTTTTTAAGAAAGATACACATAAGTTTGGCACACATACACACACACAGAAACAAACGATACTGTATTTGTCTCGGCATGTATCTTACAATTAGACAGGAAACTTAGGTAGGATTCTTCTATGTCCATACATCTTCTTTCCTAATAGAAATGAAAATGTGTCTGAAATCGAGGAACGTAGAAGATGAAAGAGAGTGAATTTTCGTTCTCCAATTCTCTCTTTTTTTGATTAATTTATTTTTTTAATTCTCACGAAGAACGTTTTCATCAAAAGGATAGAAAACGTCCAGTGTTCTAAATATGCGTAAAAACCAAAAACATTTCCCGAGTTTATCGCGAAACGTGAACAAGCGGAGAGCGTTGATCTCGCTTCTACCCTCCTCGATTCTGCTGGTGCGTGAATTTTCGCGGGTTTAAATGTCTTGGCAAAAAAGAAGGAAAGAAACGGAGGAAACAAAGGGAAACGCCGTGTCGATGGTGTCGTAGAGAGCATTAGAATATATGTGTCGTACGTTTGTATTCGTTGGTGTGCATGATGACGAGTTTTGTTCACAGTTCACATGACGGTGGAGGAAGAGCCGCTGTTGGACGAGGAATACCATCACGGATCCGACACGGCCGTCGACCTCTGATATATGTTAAGCTTTGAGCTATTGGTTTCTCGATCGGCTCGCGACCACGACTTGAAACAACGATCGCGATAACACGGTGCAGGGATTGCGGAATAATTATAGGCTCGCGCCGATCTCGCGGGGAATATTGCTGAGCGACACCCGCGCGAGGCCGCCGCGCAGTCTACGATTGCACGAGGAATGAAACTTGTGTGTCTCATCCCTAAAGATGCATGGTGTACCTCGCACATCACGTGCTCGCGCGTAGAGAAGAAATCTGTCCCGCACCTCCCTTTTGTACCGCAATATTTTGTACATGTCGTTTCGCTACCACAATACATTTATAGTTGTATTAGATTCTGACGGGCGGAAGCAGTACGAAGAGCGAGCATTGAACGATAGAGTTCACTGTTAAATTCGTAGGGTCAAATTGTACTCGATTTCAGTCATTTTTAATCATTCCTATAGGTCGCCTCCTCCTACTAAATATGTCACTAACTAAAACAATGTTAATTTAACTGAACCAAGGAAGTTAGAATAATACTGTTTTGTGTTAAAGTGATCAATTTCGACACACATGCTAGTTAAAAAGTAACAAAATCTTATATCTAGCTCAAAGTATTGATTTAAGTTTTTAATGTCTAACAAGTGTTGAACCGATAGTGATTGTACCGAGCTACGAGCGAAATCGCTTTATTTTTTCCTGTTATACGTGTGCGCTTGTCAGGTTGGCTACTTAAATGGCATTACTTAAATGGATGTACAGGAAAAGGAGAGAAGGATATATTACGGGTGTGAAGCTTTTTTCGCGCGGTGGTGCGGCATTCGATTACCGCGAGCTTGAGGATACTTATAGCTTAGATATACGTAAGAGAGTCGAAATCAACGATTTTTGTCTCGTTATTATCTCGTTAAGAGGGACTCTCGAGAATCCCTGACGAAGCTGATGAAATGTATTCGGGATTGTTAAAGGTAGCACTTTGATTAAACGTATAAGGAGCGATACTCGACTGATTTTTGCCGGTTTGAGCACGATCGTTCGTGACACGCAGGAGCGACTTTCTTTCTTTGCGTGCGACATCGGCAGAAAGCTGTTGGCATCTATTTTATAATAACGAACTATGTAAGCAACGAGAAGCAAACTTCGAAAGCCTGCGGGAGAACGTTAAACATATGTATAAGTTAGTTAACACGAAACGAACACTACAGTATTACGAATATGTTAATCGTAGTTCTTCATTCTTTCGCGAGTCTATATGTTTCAATGTGTTTCGATTATCCGCGCGAGAATCTTTTTTTATTCGCATAGATCCACAGATCGAATCTATCGCACTAACGTTAGATTTATTAAGTTTCCCCACGAACGCTGGAGATTACTTTTCATCCTGGACGATGATGATTTGCTAATCTGTCTAATCTGTGGTGTTCGCGTAAGGTAATTGCTAACAGGTCCTAAGACACACTCCTATATCTCAAGG